GATTTTATATAAATATCTTCTTCCATGTTCAGTCACATTGAGAGCTACCCATTGTCCTTGTTCACATACATAGTTACCATATTTTGTTTATAACGGCCGAAATGTACAACACCGAAAGTACGTTTATTAAGATGAAACCCGATGGAGTCCCTTGAGCTTTGGTGTCCAAAGTAATGAAAGATTTGAAGAAAAAGTCTTCAAGCTCGTGGCCATAAAAAATGGGCTACCAAAGAAAGAAAGAAAAATATAGGTTGATTTTGACGACATACTATTTTTCCCAGGTGCTTTCTGATCCATTGTTTAGGAAGAATTTAATGTTATTGCCAGTAGTCATAAACTCATAGGTGCACGAATCTTCAAGATTCCAATTTGGAAACAATATTCACCATAATAATGCACCGTAACATGCAGGCAATTTTTCTTTTTTCTGTGCGAATGACAGAAAAATATTTTTATCTTTCTTGTGAGCTTTGACTTTTAAGCGCAACGATTTGGAACATTTGGATTTACTCATAACTAAAATTTATTAAAAATTCATAGTGAATATGTAGTTTATGACAACAAAATTTGCAAGAGATAATATTGTTAGATTCTGCAGGGTTATGAACTTAGTTTGTCATATCCGATTTTATTTTGGTTTGCCTATCCTCATATCACAAACCAGGTTAAATTTATTCTTTACATTTTTTTACGACTTAAAAGGCCACTCATTTCTCTACATTTACTTATCCATAACTCATTCAGATTACCACAGCTTAACTTTTACCTGTGACAGCAAGGTAGAACAAAAATATCTAAGCGTTTTACAGTATGGATTTTATTCCATCTGCCAGAGTTGTTTTGACAAAAAAGTATAAAATAATAGTTAATGTAAAACAAGTAAAATTTGTTAGATAGCAAAAAATGTTTCTTTGAAGTAAACTGCTCAAAAATGAATAGAGATATTTATAATTTATTCTTATTCTATTAATTTTCATTAAATTAACTGATATATTCTTGTTTGTTGGATAAAACAAAATAGAAAATGCAAACCAAACACAAACAAATATTAATCCTCATTTTTAGTAATGGATTTACTTAAGAATAGTAAACATGAAGAGTACGCATTTTGTAAACAAACACCTTTTCTCTCTTTCTCCATTTTAATCCAGTTGTATTCTATTTAACCATGAAAAGACGTCTTGAATCAGAAGTCCGCAATATTTTTGTGAGAATTTGTCATCGAGGTCATCGGCAAGTGGACATTTCAGAGGCAGTTGGCATTTCTCAGAGCGTGGTCTCCCGTGGCTCCACTGGAAGTGCCGATAGGAAGCCTGGTAGTGGATCTCAGCATGTTACGACGCTAAGTCATTGCTGTAAGGCAGAACGCTTTCCATAGTGCTTGCCAGATCCTAAATGTAGTACAAAATGTTTTGGCAAGGCCTTTATCAACATAAATTATTATGAATCGTTTGTGGGTAGTTGGCCTCATATTGGCCTTATATACCCTTTCAAGACTGCAGAAACAGCCTGCTACCAGCAACTCAGGAGAATATGGCGTAGCGTGTGCCTAGAAGAGAACACCAATTGGAATGCTGTTATTTTTACTGACAAGTCGCGTTTCTGTCTGTTTAGTGATAGCAGGCGCCGAAGAGTCTACTGAGAATAATTTCTTCATTGTTTAGAAAACCTGGGACTTTTCCATCTGCTCTTTCCCCTCACTGTCCCAGACCTCAAGCCCATTGGGTACATTTGGGATGCGTTGCAGAGAAAACTTTTCAATCACTGTGTGCAGCGAGTTGACCTGCAACAACTGAGTGCAGCGTTGCAACATTTATGGGGTGAAATTCCTTATGAAATTAGTGACAACCTTATTAACATTAGATCCAATATGTGCACAGAGAGAATAGGTTAGAGGTTTTAGCTCAAGGAGAACATTATACATGGTATTAATTGTTTAAAAAATGATTGGGTCCAATGGACAAAATTATGGAATTAAAACCTTTTATTTTATTTTTCAAAATACCATAATTAAATTTTCCTTCAATAAAAACCAATCATTTCTAGTAAATTTTAATGCCATCTATAATAAAAATAAAAATGCTAAGAAAATAAAATACTACAAAATTGGCAATATCCCCATTCATTTTTGAGCATTGTTACTTTTTTAAAAAAAATTAAAGTCTAACCAGTTTGTCTTATACTTCCAAGCCTGTCAGACATAAATTATAATGGGCCTAACGTTTCCCCTTAACAGAAACTCGTTTTGTATAGTTGAAAAGTCCCTAAATGCAAAAACCGTACCTCCCAGAGGACAGTGCATTCCACCTTAAAATGGAATACACTTTGCGGACTGTGCAAATTGCATAAAGAGCACGACCTCTCATTAGCCTGCTGCTAAACAAAGTATTTAGACATACCACTTCACATCTTATCTTAAACAGCCAACAAAGGTCGGATAAATATAGATCATTTAATTTGTTTCTGAAAGTCAAACAAACCAGTCCTCTGACAAAGCTGTAAAGAATATCTTTGGTTAATAGATGAACACAATGGTGGGTCTCATCATGATGCACGTTGGCAAATGTGGGCTAAGAGTGTTTTGAAATAACAGTTCCATTAGATTCTCTAAGTTTACAATGCATCTAATCCTGTATTTTTTTAATAAGAACTTATAACGTTTGAATCAAGAGAAGTTGGAGTGAACAGTTATTTAAGTTGTGTTGGCAAGCCTAGAATGTGGGGACTTTAAGGTTTTGACTATGTAAGCAAATTGCAGTTTTAAAGTATAAACAAAAATAAGATTAGTGGCAGTTTTCAAGTATAGGAGATGGTTGGGTGTGGCAGACAGTGATGAAAACAATTTTCTGATTGAAAAACGCCATACTTCCTCTACCCATTATACATTTGGTATCCCCAATTTTGCCACCCATAATGTACAATTGATCTACAAACTTCATTGAATACAGAGTAGTTTGTTCTCAGTGGAACATCATTCTGCATAATAAAAGGAGACCAAGACATATTTATTGTTGTTTTGGCATCAAAAGAACTTTTTTCGAGATATGTATGTAAAACAACTTAATCTTTAGAATGTTGCTGAATTGTCTTAATACCACAATGATATGGAACTGTCAAAAACTATTGCATTTTATAGGAGAACAAGAATTCATTTGTTTGAATTGCTTTTCATCCATGTGAACTATACTTGTAATGATGGTGCATGCATTTAGATATTCTATTTGGGTCATAAAAACCACTAACATGGGTAGTTTTTTGGTTTTGAACTAAGACAATATTGATTATTGATTTTTATAAGCTCCAATCTGTATATATGTACATATATATACACATATTCAGAGTTGAGCGTATCACTTCTCACAGTCCACCAGTAATTCCAGCGTTTTGTAATTTACAATAAATTACTGGCCTTGAGAATCACCCACTCCAGGTGGTGACTGTTGGCATTTTGGGGTCAGACCTCGGTCTTATGTATCCAGCCACCGAGGTTGGGCTCCGGGTGCTTTCAACAGCTAGGTCATTTTAGCACCCAACACAGTAAGTTCCTAAATTCATTCACAATCTCACTCATTCTTGAATACATTCTTTCCTATTTAGTTACATTCACTCAGTTAGGGTGGTACTCGATATTCCTCCATCACCCTTTCACCTATTATACAACTAACATAACTGGGGGTCGATTGGGTCATCAATATCCACCGTTGACCCCTCTCACACTACACATTCACACCAATAAATACATTCACTCTCAACACATGCTAGGGACGCAAAACTAGCATTATTATATACAATAAAACAACCATGTTTTCTCCAAGAATCGGAACATGGGACCCAGTTAATTGCTGCTCAAGCATGTTTTTCATATCAGGTGGCAATCCTGCACGCTCTCTGTATAGAACTTAGGAGTGAGACACATTGAACAATATTTTTCTGTATGTCGGACAAGTGGACCATAAAACCTAATAGATGTAATAGACTTCCTCTGTATGTTGGCCACATTTTGGTCCAAAAGTGAATGTCCATGTGTCAACCTCTATGGCCTATTATATTATAAATCTCTATAGGAGTGTTTTTATTAATATGATTTTGAAAATTTTGTTGATAATTTTTAATTTGTATCCCTGGGCATTGGGGGCATAGAAACAACAAAATAGTTGATATGTAGACCAAAGAGGGAGCCAACTTGGACTCTCTAGGTCCTGAACCCTACTGTGGCTTAGCATCTTGTCACAAAAGAGAATACATCTAAAATGGATCCTTAATGAGTTCAAAGTATGGCGGAATAAATACCTCAGGTATGAGGCATGTGAAGAGGTTTATAGAAAGGCCTCTGCACAACTTACAAGGGAATTATTGGAAGGCAGCCGCAACCAAACCAGGATTCTGGTTAGACTTGACAGGGCACTGCCATTTAAGAAGGCGCAAGATTGGATAGGTGTACAGACAGAAGGAACACTGTGCAGATACTGCCAGGAGAGGAGGAGACGACGGAACACATTTTATGTTTTTGTGAAGGTTTTTGTAGATGCAGATTCTTACAATAGGGAGAGGATAAGCCGCAAGTGAGATCTTACACTAAGGAGCTTCTGTCAAGGCTATGGAGGTTGATTAACAACCTGTAGCTGGCCAGTGAGATTAAAAACTAACAAGAGGAGCACAGTATAGTAGATACTCAGGTCAAGGAGCAGAAGGCCTTTTGGCCTCCTCTTTTATCCCTATATAATTTTTTCATAAGTCATGAAAGGTCATTGCAAATCAATGTTATCATTACTTATATATTTTTTAATAAGTATAAACATAATAAATTTCCACCACTTTCTAGTGCGTTAACAACATGTTAAATTAAACCTGTTAATTAGAGTATAGATTATTTTCAATATGAATGTATCATTTCATGTACAGGGCATAAAGCTTAAGAATAAGCTTTTTTCTTTTCTTTTTAAACTGCACTAAATTGTGTGTACTTTGCAGTAAGAATATCATTTTTATTTTATAATTAAAACAGTATCGTTTTTGCTGTGGCACAGAGAAAGTGCATAGAAAATAGCCTCTTTTGTGTATTTGATTAACTACAGAAAGATCTGTGTTTCTGTTTGCACTCTTTTGTTATGGAAATCATTGGTGTTGTCAACAGTTTGACAGCATTTTTAAATTTTCAACAGCACGCCTAATAAAATTTTCATCGTAGTTGTATCTCTTTGAAATAAATCAACCTGACCTTTGCTTACTAGATAATTTTAACTTATAAAAGCTCAGCTGTTAGGTTTGCAGAATTATGTAAAAACTTGTAAGAAGTGGTTCTCGCATACGTAATCAACCAAAAGATTTTAGTTCAAGATTTTAATTATTACGAATTATCGCTTATCATAGAGAGGTATATGTAAGTTTTAATTATCATACACATGCGCATATTTAAATGAATTTATTTTTATTTTTATGATAGGTTAACTCACACTTTTAATGGATGGTGTCTTTTTTTTATGTGTGTGTAGGAATTTCCAATTACGGATAGTAACATTAAAAAAGTTAACGAAATTCATTTGGACCCTGGGTAATAGTTGTTTTTCTTTCAAATAAACCCCCAGATAATAATATGGATAAATTTAATAATAATTAATAGTGTAAAGAATTGACTGCAACTCAATAAACATGTATTGAATACATTGTAGTAATTTTATTAATGTATAAAATGTGTAATAATTGTATAAATATATATTATAGGCTTAATGATAGAGATACAAATTTAAAAATAAGTAATCCTAACTTGTATATATTTGATTTTCATTCCAGTGTGATATGATACTCACAAGAAAGAGCCAATGATCTTCATGTCATATTTGAAAACATTAGGATTGAGAAAAATAAATATTGTTTTCTCCCACTAATCTTCATTGTTGTAGGGTAACAATAGTAAAATGACACAAAAAAAATCATATGTTAAAAAAAAGAAGTATTTATTGGGACTTTCGATAATGTTACTTGAAATTCCAGGATGACAATTATGATGTTGCTAAAAAAATGTTGACTTGAGTAGGCATAATTAGACCCGAAACTGAGAAAGACAAGTGCAAGTCATTCTTATTTTAAATTGAATGCTTGCTATAAAATATTTTCCATTTCCGTATTTGAATTTTGTTTTCATAGTATTTCATTGTATGGGAAAATCTTTGTCATGATTGCCATGGTGACAGTTTACAGCATGCCCTATACTGTTCGTAGAAATGCAAAAACTGAGTCACTGGGCTACTAATCAAATTGGTATTCATCAATCATAATTATTATAGTCACCAATTAAATATACTACGAGAGAACCGATTGTGTTACCTCGCTTAGCATTATCTTGGCAAGTCAAGGTTCTGCTCTAACAAATGTGAAACCTAATTCAATTTGGAATCTTAAGCGTGTTTGAATCAATTTTATATGTAATTTTCCTTTTGCTTATTTTTCTTGTCTAATCATAAGAATACATAAGAAATAAATATATGTGTGATTTCAAATTAATTGTTGACGTTCCAGATGGACATGGCTGTATATGATTCACATAGCCTTGCCTTGAATATTGTGAGTATTTATATTTACATACAAAACACATATAAACTTAGAAATAAAAATAGAAATACATTTAGTAAAAAAAAGTAAACAATTATGTAAAAAGTCAAATATTCTGCCTCAAATCAATAATCCTTCATGTGCCTGTTTATTTCATGTAATAATTATTATATTATATAATAAATTAATATTACAATAAGACAATATAATTAATTATTTGAAAAGTTATTATTAATTGTGAATTATAACAAGTAATCACTAAATAATAAGAATCTAAATTAACAGAAATTAAAAGTTTAGTTAGCAATTAATTGTACATTTAATTCATTCATTCAATTAACATTTAACGATTTTGTTAATAGTTGAAATTTAATTATTGTGACTACTATTCATTATGTTTATAATTGTTCATTGTTGTGTACCCTTTTCTTTTATGAAATTTAACCACTATTAACCAATTGAACAAAGTAACTGTTTTTAATGGCACATTTTTCTCTACGACATTAATTGCCATAAAATTATTTTATTTTGTATGTAGGCCTAAGTGATCTCATTTCATAGAATTTTTTCAGTTTTGTGTATCAATTCATTCAAATTTTCTAATCCATTAGTCGCTTATTTATTTACATAAGATTGTACCCTTCCTTTTGAAGATAATAACTAAGATAATCTACTGATCAGCAATAAAACAATTAATGTTCATTTTCAAGCATACAGATGATATAGTTAGTCCTATTAATAAAAAAATTATTCTTTTTATCTAAGGTTTTTGGTTGAGATGAAAAATTAGTGTCACAGAGGAGATTCGAACCGATGACCTAGGCTCAACATGCAGCTGTTCTAACCACTTGAGCTATCGTGACTTCATTAGAGCAGTGGTGTATTGAGCCAAAGGTCGTGGGTTCGAATCCCCTCCGTGACACTAATTTTTCACCTCGACCAAAAACCTTAGATAAAAAGAATAATTAATCGGGATAATTAATATGGTCCATTATGACCACTAAGTAAATATAGATTAATTAATAAAAAAAATCAAATTTAATCTACTATATGGTTCATGTTGAAATGATTTAAAGTTGGGTAAGCATTGATGATATAACTAATCAATAGTTATTTTTATAAATTTGATTTTACAACATTGGTATTTGGTTGGTGGTATTTTATTTAAAACTTGTAAATTTCAATTTCAGTGCGCGTTAAACAGGAAACAAAAACAAACATTTGAGTGTAAATGTAAATTAGTTGTTAATGTTAATGTGAATGATGTGCAATTGATCAATCAAACTAATTTTTATGAAGAATCAGTACAAAAGTTAAAATTTACTGTGATACATTTAGCGCGGTTTGAAATGTAATGCACAAAAAGCTGACAATTGTAAAATTAATGTTTGTTTTTAATTTTAGATAACTGGGCGTGCATTGTGTTAGGTATTGCTTGTCTGTTGATTTGAAGACACAATGTCAACGGAAGATTTGTTAATAAATGAAAACCAAGTCGATCAAAGTGGTTCGACACCCATTGAAGAAAAGGAATCTCCAAATAAAGAAAAGGGTGAAGATCAAAACATTCAAAATGATTCAACACCTGTTGAAGATGGAGAAAACCAAAATAAAGATAATGAAGAAATCCAAAGTATAGAAAGTGATACAGATTTAATCAACGCCACTAAAGATATGATTGATATTGAAAAAACTAAAAAATTTGACACTAAATCTACAGAAGATAATATCAATCTATGTTCTGAAGATAACAGTGAACAAATGGACCAAAGTGATGAAGATATTGATATGATAGACGATTATACACCAAGCCCTAGTCAAATAGGCAAACGATCAAATTCTAAAGAAAATGAAGTTTCATCTGATGAAGAAGACCTGCTGGACAACAACCAGGATAAAATTGTGATCAGTGATGATGGTGAAAGCAGTCGCAATAATTCATTGTCTGAGATTGATTTAATAGAAAGGAAGAAGAGGAAGAGGAGAATGCACCATTTGCTGCTAGACATTGATAATGGACAGGCCATGAAGAAAAGAAGAAGGAAGAAAGATTATTTGGAATATGAGGTAAAATATAAAATTAACAAGCTTCCAGCTTGATATTTAATGTGTAACTGTATCTCAGCCGCCGAAATTGCAAGGAAAAACTGATATATTTTGCTGGCGGTGCCACAAACCAGGACCTCACCTAGCGTCGTGCTTGCACTGCACGAAAGTCTACCATCTGAAGTGTGCCCAAATAGAAGGAGATCCAAAGCCCCAGTGGGTCTGCCCTGAGTGTGAACAGATTAGAAGAGCAGAATGTGATGAAGAAAAGTAAGTGTATTTTGAATTTGGTTAGAAATACAAATTGTTATGGATTTAACCCATTTAGAATTCTAAAGATTGGCTGTTGTGCCCAAAAAGCAACAATGCAAATTTAATGCCATGGAACATTTGGTTTTATTTCACATCAACCATATATAACTTATAAATACCGTGGAATATATAACAACTGAAATTTAAAGCCTAAGCTGCTTTACTAAAAATATTTAATAAGAATATCCAAGGACTTTTCCAAGGTTTTGATAAAAGTACCGAATTTATAATAATGTTAATGTAATACTAATTTGTGATATTTTTTTGTTGAGGTCTACAGGGTAGTTCGGTCTATTCTGATCATCACATGCTTTTGGCATTTCACCTTCCTCACTGGTGGTTTTACAAATCTAGACTCTATAAACTTAATTTGCAAGACGTCCCAGCCCCCCAATGAATATGGTAAAATATTGAAAACATCTGGCCGACCAAACTAGAGAGGAGGATAGCCCAACCTGGATGATCAGATGACCAAACTACATAATAATAAGTTAATTAATAATTGATCTTAAAAATAAGCACTTGTATTAAATAAGGAGGTAAATATTAATAAAATACACACATTAACGTTTAATGATAATTAAATTTTATAAAAATCATAATAAGAAGTGGCTTTAAATATATGCTAGAACTTTTGAAGACAATTTGGACCAACTAAGCCATGTCTACATATGTGTATATGTATATATATATTTTTTTAAATGATATTCACTTTGAATAACCCTGCGTTATTACTTTTTCTCCACTTTTAGATCCAAGCCAGGTTACATAAATCCTGAAACACTACGAAACCTGTTGTTCTTTGCCATTAAAAGGATGCTCACATTGGAAGGGGTGAGCTTATAAAAGAAAGATTATTTTCAAATATATGATTTTTTTAAATTCTATACCAATTTTCATTCAGGCTGAACACTTTATCCAACCGGTTGATGTTAGTGCTTACGAAGATTATTGTGATTTTGTTCTCGTTCCCATGGACCTAACTTTGTTGAAGAAAAGGGTACGGGATGGAATGTACAAGTCGACGGAAAGCTTTTTGGTTGATGTTAAATTTTTACTTCACAACAGTTACATTTACAATTCAGGTATTCTTGTAAAAGTAAATTTATAATAAATAAATAGATTTTTTTTCTATATATATTTTTTTAAATAGCACTATCTGAATTGACACTGGTTGCAAGACAGTTGGTAAAGATTGCAAAACAAGAATGTGAAGAGATGCATAACTGCAGTGACTGTTACAGGCATGCAAATACGATTAAGGATAAATGGTTTATAGAGCCTTGTGTAAGTTTTAACTTGCCATTAATTTATACTATAATGATTAACATTAAAAATTCCTATTTAATATTTATAAATTATATTTTTATCAATTTTACTATTTTTATGCTAGTTTTTGATCAATCTTGTTTTGACAGTAGAAAATCCAAGATGATCAAAAATGATCAAACCGCTAGCAAATTAAGTTTAAGATTGGTATTGTCGTCAATTTGAATACAAAAATATTGTTAGTTTAAATCAATGAAAGTGGTTATAAAATTAAGTCAGCTCTTTCCGTTTTTATAAATCTTAATCTAATAATAAATCCCCATATGTTCAGTTATTATTATCCCAATAAATTTTTTTATCCTTATTATTTTTAAGGCAAAGCCACATTTATTGGTATGGGCAAGGCTAAAAGGCTATCCGTACTGGCCTGGAAAAGTTATGAAAGTGCATGGACCGGAAGTAGATGTTAGATTTTTTGGTGATCACAACAGGTTCGATGGTTTGACTTGGTTTTTTTGGTCAACCAGCCTAATATTACAATTTTTCAGATCCATGGTCCCGCTGGCGAATATTTTTTTGTTTAGCAAACGTCCACCTTACCGCATACCAGTGCGACATACACAAAGCTTCGAAGAGGGAAAGGAAGTACGTTAGAATATATTTCATCTTTTGGATCACTTTTATTTAAAAATGAATGTTTTTCAGGAAGTTCAAGAGCATATTGAGAAACTTATTAACATCTATGGAAATTTTGAATATGCCCCAGCCAAAGTGCAGTATGATCCGAAAATGGAGTATGGCCAGCTCAAAATGATGATTCCTAGTGTATGTACTTTTCAATTTTTTATAATTATTTTTTTGCTAGAAAAATGTTTAAGAGGTGTTTTGTTTTGTTTTTCAGTATGGAAGGAAGAAAGGGGTAAGTTTTATACAAATTATTATAATATAGAAAAACTTGTACTATTTTATCTTAAAATAATGAGTTTATTTTAAAAAAATTGATAATACTTAAAAAATTCTTTAAAAAAACTTTTATTCTGAATTGAGCTCAGGATTGATACATCATTCTGAACAATCTCATAATATGTAACATTACTCCTTCAAAATTCACCAATCTAAAAGCAGGTTATCACTGCCCTTGTGAGTACGTAATTAATTTTACTTTTTAGCTAAGGTCTTGGTAAAGTTGAAAAAGCTGGTATCACGAGCAGGATTCACAGCATTTTTCTCAACCAAGTCCTTAGATAAAAAGTATAATTAATTAAAATAATTAATATGAGTACTTAATGTTGTGCTTGGAACTTCTCAACATGCTGTTTTCATAATCCCCACCCCTTTAATGCTATGCCTATTGCTGATTACATTTTTGTTATCAGTCTTTATAACATCTCTTAGAAGCACAATTGTTCAGTCATATTGTAGTGATATTTGCAAATATTTTTCTTTAACATTTGCATTATTGAGTATTGAAAGTTTATTTTATTTCAGGAAAACAAAACCACATCTTCTGTCGAGGTTACTGAACAAAAGAGTATAGAGACTAGGATGCCAATGACTAAAATCCAAGTTTTAACTAAAAACAATGGCGCCCCATCAGATATAAAAGTTGGAAATAATGTCAAAACGATAATTTCAGTCGATAAGAGGACATTCGCTCATCAGACCACAATCATAGCCGGTAATAACAAAAATACAATGAGGAATGATTCTGACAAAAAATCAGGATTGAAAATATCCCCCAAAAATGCAAAGTCCCTTCAGTCGCCTGGCCAGAGGTTGATATTCTCACCGAAGCATGTCAAGATCAACAATGCAGCACCAGATAACTCAACGTACTTTTCTAACGGAAAAGGCAAATTTGATTTGAGCGAAAACTCGGTTGTAATGAATCTGAAGAAAAAGCTGATGCTTTCACCCGATGGACAACATTCCGATGATGACAGCTTCATGCAAGGAAGCAAGTCTGAGAAAAGCGTTCATTTCTATCCAAAGCTGGTTTTAATGAAAAAACAAGAGCAATCGTCTGAAAAGAAATTTTTGTCTGACCAATTGCTATGTCCGACCATATCAACATCAGACGATTTGTCTGTTAAAGAATTTAACTCAGTCTTAAAATCTGCATATTTAAAAAGAGTGAGTGATATTAAAGATTTTGAAAACAAGCATTCAGAAGGTAAGAGTATATTAATTAAACAGATGTATGTAAAACCCAATAATTTAGTTCATAACAAAAAGGATAATGGAAAAGAAATTGATAAAAATAGATCTGATGTACTTCAATGTAATACCGGCAGTAAATTAGTAGGCTGTGATCTGCCTATGAAACAACCAGTCATACTGTTACATAAACTAGATGAAAAGATATTAAATAAAAATTCCATTAGGGTCGAAGAGGAAAATGTTTCCGATACAAATTCTTCCAACAAAACAAATAATTTTAATTCTATCAATAGCGAGATCACTAATTTTTCTTTCTCATCTTCTGATGAATATCCTGATTCTTCTGCAATTATTTCTTCATCAGAAATAAATGGCATTAAAGTTGATGGTGAAGGAAAGGTTAAAGAGACGTCAATCGATGAAATATATGACAGCGGAGATTCAGCTACGGTCGATCGTGACGAGTCACATCCTCCTCCACCAAATCTTATAGAAATTGACAATCCAGAAAGTGAAATTGGCCTCTGCAGTCTGTTGACGCCGAACGAAATATGTGCCGTCAGACAGAAACCAATAAAAGCTGCACAATCATCAGAAGAGGAGACGCAAAATGAAAACAATGAATGTAATAAAAGGCGAAAACAATCTTCACCTTCTTCAAAGGACCAAAGCCAATCTATTAAGATTCGTGTTAGAAAGGATTTAATGAGAAATGATTTATTAATGGGTATAAATATTTATTATTATTAATTTTTGTAATAAAATAACTATACACATTCTCTTTGCTGTAGATGTCTCAAGTGATGGAGGAGAAGAAAGGGAAAATCCAGAACCAGAGGATATAGTAAATTCAAAAAACCCAACTGACTTAAAAGAAAAATTGGTTTGTGTATATATTTCTACATTTTTTGTCCAAGCTATAAAATAATTATTAATTAACATTACAATTTCCATCTATTTGGCATAATAGTTATTACTCTGATTAATTAAATGTATTTTCAGGTAAAAAAAGATGATCTTTTAAAGATTTCAATTCATGATGTATTTGCTGCTATGGAAAAGGGTGAAACGAAGGAGGAAGTTTTAGAGATTGCCAAGAAGGAATTAGAATCACTAGAAAAATATTATGAATCTCAATTAATCTACGTCACAAACAATTGTGGTGAGAATAAACAGTCATGTTGTTTTCCAATTCGGTCTCAACTTGTCACATTTCAGCCTCAAGGATCGAAGAGATCGATCAGATTTTTGAAGCCGAAAGGACGAAGATAAGAGTCAAGACACGGTTGGAATGCCAGGAGGAGAAAAAACATCTTATCGACGAAATCAAAAGGAAGCAGTGGTGCGTTTTCTGCCTGAATGTTGCAAAATTCCACTGCTGTTGGAACACATCGTACTGTAGCGAGAAATGCCAAGTAAGCTCCCTCAAAACACACACACACACACACACACACACACACACACACACAACCATTCTAAAGAGTTCAGAACATGAGGTGAAAAGCCATTACATTTTTCAATATTGGTTTTCTTTTATTGTATCAGGTTTTTTTTATTTATTGAAACCACACCTTTAAAAAATATGTTTTTAAAAGCACCAAAGATTATTTCTTTCTGTATCATGCTTTGGTATAATTAATTTATGCAATTTCATGCTATTATAATTGCATACAATTAATCACTTTGAACTTTCGGCATTTTTTAAGTGATACAATCTTCCAGGACCATTAATTACTACCACAAGAATTATAACAAATAACTGCCCAATTAATTCAGGATGGGAATAACAGGGGCTTCAGGAAGCTATTAGAAGTAGAACACTTCACTGTTAAAAAGCCTTCTGCTCTGGGGATTTAGTCCAAGTTTTTGTCCAGAATAAGTTTTCATGTTCATTTTGATGTTTTAATAATAACATATTAGCATACTTTTTAAAACCTGTGTCTGAAGTACACATTGTTTGGTTATAAGTACATATTTATTATATTAATCCATGTTATTGTTGATCTTAGTTAACAAAAATAATGGTTTGAATTGATTTATAATTTTTATGTAAAGTGTAGCTGAGAAGACAATGCCCAGCTTTATACCTCAGTGCTCTAACTACTTGAGCTGTCATGACATACATTCTTAATTATACATATACATATTTATTTATTAGTTTGTTTGATATAATTTTCTATTTCCTTTTCCAGTTGGCGGACTGGCCCGTTCATTCAAAAACATGTACGCAGTATAAAATGCGTGCTAATGACATTGATTTGCGCCTGAATCCAAAACACAAAGCTTTCCTGACGCGCTACAGATCTAACAATAAAATATTAGTTCAGGTATAGTTTCATTTTTATGTGGTTTTATTTTTTGCTCAGCTTAAGTGTATTTTGGAAATAAAAGATAAATTATAAATAAAAAATAAGTCATTCTTTTAGCATTTTGGTATTTAAAAAAATTATTATTGATTGATACAAATTTAGCATAGATAAGAAAAAGAAATTTGGATAATGTAAGTGTGTAAATGTGATTGGAAGAAGCGCCCCTACTCAAGTGACTTCCTGTTAGTCCTGTCATGGGAACCTCCTGTGAGTTGGAGCTAAAGCATGTGAACTGGCCGTTTTTCTTTTCTCCTGTAACGTTTTCTCCTATTACTATTCATCAAGAAATGATCAATCAGACCATAGGTTTATCAGTTCCCCGCAGCTATGGTAGAACGAGGACTGTGTTCGAGAGCATGTAGAGAAGAAATAGACCTTTGACGTTTTAGATGACCCCCAGTGGGAAAAAAAAAATTTAGAAACAAAAAAGTCAGGAAGTGATGTGTCGAATACCCTCGCTAAGCACATGGCCGAAATCAACTCTAATTCTTCAATTGAGAAAGCCTGATGAAAGATCAGGGTCCTCTGGTTGAATAATGAGAATGGAGTGCAGGTGCATTGCTGAAGCATGAGATGACACTTCTGTCTCAAGTACCTTTGCTTTCATGGAACTAAAAGGTTTGAAGACCTTTCAAGAAGACCCCATGTTCAGAGAAGAGTATTGTGCTTGCAGTGAACAGTATTACTGATGTTGTCCCATGGCCTAACAGAAGTTACTATATGCCAGTCACATCTGACAACCTTTCGGGTGAAGACTTGTCAGAGGTCGATACCTTACCTGTCTGAAGAAAAAAAACACTTAGAGAAGCTTAAACGATTATCAAAACCAGCCAGTGCTGTGCGCTGTGAGTGTTGCCACCTGAACTTCTAGGGCTTACTTTCACCTACGTGGCTAAACTGAGACACCTTTGGAAAAAAAAAATAAAACAATAAAAAGTTGGACAAAAAAATTATTCATAATTTATATAAAATCAAGGTAATGTTTTCAAAAAAGAGAAATGTGTTTACATTACATTAAATAATTTCTCTGCATAAAATCATTTTTATGTTAGAAACCTCTCTGAGAAAGAACTACTATACATAGATTCAGAAATAGTAATTATAATCTGTATAGTCCATCAGTTTCATTAATGAAGGAAAAAAATAATAAGGGATAAACAAACATTTAGATCACTTTGCCAAATAGACTTCATAGTCCTAAAATGTTGTATGATCAAAATATGCAGTTCTTATTTTCTGAGTTGTTAATTTTTGACTTTTAAAAATATTTAGGACGTCATAGATGGGCACAAAAGATTAAATGCTGTTGTTAATAAACCTAAAGTGGCTAATTCCCTGTCTTCACTAAATGTTAAAATCGGCTCTCAAGTACAGAATGCTATAAGTCCAGTCGGTACTCAAGGTCAAAAGGAAGCAAATTCAGTTGGTGTTCATATTCAGAATGCAGTAAGTCCGACCAATTTTTATGTTCAATGATTCTATGAAATTTCTTCGAAAAATAATCAATTTTCAATTTGTCTTCTTAGGGTCAGAAGGAAGCAAGTTCAGTCGGTGTTTCTATTCAGAATGCAGTAAGTCCAAACAATTTTCATGTTCAATGATTCTATATAATTTCTTGGAAAAATAAATTTTTATTTGTCTTCCTAGGGTCAAAAGGCTACCAAGGATAACATTTTTATTAAACTAATTCCTGAGTCTGTGAACAATGGGCAGAGCCAGAATCCATCTACTTCAAAGCCTGTAATGGTCATGAAGAATGTCTACCCAATGAACGTAATCAAAAGGAAAGTTCCAATCGTAGCGAGCACCGGAATCTCCTCGATGGATCAGATAAAAGGTGAGCAGAAGACTGGGCAAGACCAGCAAAAACTGACCAAACCATGTCGGCTCATAGAGAAAAAAAGGAGCGACGGAACGAAGTTCTTTTGGCTTGACGCCTCGCCTTCGAGCTCTGGTGAAGAAGAGGGACCGATAAACACAACGAGCAATGTTCAAATTGTCAACAATCACAAATCGGGGATCAAGAGGACGGCGACTTGGGATCCATCAACAACTTTAGAGGCTGCAGAATTTGCAATGATACAAACCAGTGCTGGCTTTCGCACCGTGCCGAGTTCAGTGGGAAAAAAAATTCATATGAAAGTTTGTGGGGATAAAATAGAAGTGGTCTCTTCCAAGCAGAAAACATCCACATCCCCGAGGAAAATCCTACCTAAACTCATACCAAAACAGAAAATTATCACAAACACACGTAATTTCAAAGGTGTAATAAAAACATTGGACGAGCATGAAATTGAAAATATAATGAATAAAAATCATTTGAGTGGTTTTGATTCTTCAGTTGAACAAGAGTGAGAGCTTACTTTTTAAACAGTAAATAGTCTCTTCTCTCATCGAGTCATCGCAATTGTAAATTTATAATTATTGTAAATTTAAATTTGTAAATAACATTTTGTAAAAAAATGTACATATTTATAAATTGTTCTTTAAAAATTTAAACAAATTGTACAAGAATTCTTTTTATTTCTTCTAGCAAGGTCTTTTTAACGATTCTTGTATTTCAAAATGTTAATTTTTGAATTATAAAAACTATATTTAGTTGATTTTGTATTTAAACCCCTTAATTGATTAGTTTTTTATTGAACATAAATAGCATCATTTCACTTGTACTACTTTTTGTATTCTACTACATATTTACATTAGGAGGAAGGCAAGATCCATTTGCGCACTGTAAACCATTGATGATGATGTACATTTTTTAATACAAACATCTTTGAATTTTTTTAAAAATGATAAGTGCCAAATTTGTATTTTGGTATCCTTTAGTTACCATTGTAGTAATATCAATTTGTTCAGGGTGAGCATTAAGTCAAACATGACAGTTTGTACATTTTTTATAATATAAATTTATCTGATGAAGCAAGTTTTCAACAGTTGGTAACAAACATATAATAAAAAAAATTATGATAGTTTATTTTTCTTTTAACCTATTGAATTAATATTTAGTTAAAACAATCTCAAAGCAACTTTTAAATTATGTTTACTAAATTAATTCACAAGTAGACTTTTAAAACAAATATTTAAGTTTTTGTACATAACATGAACTATTTTTCATTTTTTATTTTCATTTATTCCAGAAAATCCTGCACTGAACTCTTTTCCTAGATTTTTTATCCTCTTCAACCCAGGGATAATTTCAACAAAATGTGAGGGCAATCCTTTCCTCTGTTTTCTTGCCTCCCAGTTGTATGGGATGCCCAGTCGCATAAGTTGGACGGTATGAAAATGTGGATGAGGTGGCTAAGGCTGGGACATCCCAACTTGTAGATTTACCACCTCGATTCGTCCGGCCCTCTGATGCTAAAAATGCATTAAAAACCTGAATAAAAGAAAGTGGCTAGATTGTAACAGAAACTCTTGCCGCATCAAGAGCAATGTCGATAGGTGGCCCTCAGAGGATATGAATTGTAGAAGTGTTATCCTCACCTGATTAAGGATAGGCCATGTGAGGTCTACCCATGGACAGCTTTCATGATAATTATGCTCAAGCACAGTAGTGGTTCGTCTGTTCCAATTCTCGGAGGAAACGGGGTTGTTTTATTGCATATAGTTTTGTGTTCCTAGCATGTGTTGTGGTTTTTTATATTTATTTATTATACTACCCTAACTAAATGAACAGTACGTAAATAAGTAAAATTGCTGTGGTGCTGAAATGAAGTAGCTGTTGATAGCACCTGAAGCCCAATCTTGGATAGATTGAGGTCTGATGCCAGACAGCCAAAACCTGGAGTGAGTGATTCTTGAGGCCTGTCAGAGATTCATTGCAAAGTAAAAAAGCTGTAATTGCAAGAAGTGATAAGTTTAATTCTGTACATATGTGCAAATTCGAGTTTATACAAATCAGTAATCAATCAGAAATATCCTGTGAACGAGGACGGCTCAAATATTTGCTCACGGAAGTTTCAAAAGATGTGATACTCATATAGTGATTAACATACGTTTTGATACAGAACAAAATAATCTTTTTACCATGCATTTGTACATTTCTGCATGATGAAGTACATTAAACAAATTACTTAATTATTTATATTCTTCTTTTGTATTTATTTCCTCTCTCGAATTGTCTGAAAACAGTAAATTTATTTCAAGATGATTGAGAAAGTAACCATCATCTTCAAAACATGGGCAAAAGTAGACGCCTATGAAAACAAATATTTTAATACTTGTTTCCTTAGATATGGAATGCTTGTCTTTCAGAAAAATTATAATTTGCCAACATAATCAGTGCTATTTGTTGCAAAAAATTGGCGCAATTGTTGTCGTAGTAACTGCAAATGTTCAGAAAATAATAGGTATGGTCCAAAAGTTTTTCGTGTATGTCAAAAAGAGGAAAGCCAAAGAAATTAAGTACTGTAGAGAGAATAATTTTGCATAAAGTGAAGAAAAATCATAAAATTAGTGGCCTAAAATTGGCTGCAGAATATGAATGAGCGTATCTACAAGAAAGAAGAATGCACAGGAGAGATGACCATTGTGACAGAACAGCTAGAAGAAAATATTGTATAACAAAGTAAATAGCCAAAAGCGACTGGACTGTGCTAAAGAAAACATTCACCGACCAGAGAAGTGTTAATTCAGGGTTGTATTTTCCGACGAAAATATGTATAATGTTTTTGTGGTAGTGTACTTGTCGGTGTACAAGTTCTGCTTAAATTTCATTGATGGGATAATGAACAATGTTGTATATGGATATATTGGAGGACTGCATTAGCTGAGTGGTCAACTTGATAATCTCTTGACTTGTAGATCTCACAGTCATAGGTTCGATTCCTACCATCGGGTCCCTGGCTTTTTTTATGCTACCATTCCTGCAAAGTGGATAACTGCCCCTCTCAAAGTCATATGAAACGAATCCCAGTATGCACATTTGTAGCAACAATTGAAAAAAAAATCTTATAATTATGGAATGTTTATTTGCTTTTGAACTATTTTAATTTCCATTATAGTTATATTTGGGGAGATAATTGTATCAAAACTTTTGGCAATCATTGTTTATTCTTCAATAGACTGAAGGCTCATCCCTGAAATCAGCCTTCGAAAGTCAAATTCTCTATTTATAATTGGGTATTGTGTGTGGCAACTTTTTTAGGTAACTGCAATAATGACTTCATTAGGTAGAGCTATAACAAGATGTGAATGTTTGTCTTCTACAAGCTAGTGTTTCCTTATTTCATCATGACTCCCATATTTGTGTTTTAAGTTTGGCTTTTTTTGATTAGTACCAAATATTTTTGTCTCCCTTATTGTATTTTTAATCACTTTTTGCTTAATGGAAAAATAGACCTCTGCTCAATGGCAATGTAGCCCAGGACGGAGAGACACGCAAAAAAAGTTGATAAAAGTATCATTACAAACAATAATACTAAATCTAGGACTAGAATAATAGTTGGACTGCTGATGCTGGAAACATTAATAGACTTAAAGTGGCAGAATCAAGCCTATGCAGATAATACTAAGAAGAAGAAACAGCAGAAAACCTTGTTGGTGCAAAGGCCTATGTACGCTGAGATTCCTAATCCCGGGAGAGGAAAAGCCAGGGCATGAAGCATGCACACAGGAGCTCTTGAAAAAGCCTTAAGCTTAATGAGGAGCTCTAGATTAGAAAAAATGAAGATAGACTAATACTGGTAGTGGTGCGTAGATCATAGAGGCCTTCTCCTATGTAATCTAATCCAATTCATAATTAAGGGGAAAAACCTGGGCTAGTTCACACAAAGCAAACTGATGAAAGTCACAATGGGCCTCATTTCCTTGACTGATATTTGTTGGAATTGTAAAATTTTTTTTTTTTATGCTTACTCGCTCTACTAGCAAAGTATAGTTTACATGAAAAAGTGCGATCAGCAAAGGACGGAAACAGTGTGCATTTTGCTTTGTAAATTGCAATAACACCCTCTCAGTAGTCTGTTATCTGTGATCTAATTTGAAGAAGAATGAAAAAGGAACAAATGCAAACGAACAGTAAACAGAACTATTAATTATTCAAGAAATAACATAGTATACAGATTCTTCACTGAATATTTGATTAATGAGAACCAATATCTATTGTTTTTTAAATTAAATCAGGGGATTTATTTATTGTACATAAAAAGAAAATAAGTTTTTTTAAATATATGTATTAGGAATGAAGGAAGCCTATGTTATTTCCCCTGTTATTTGTATTTTTCTCACCAAGGCACTCAAAAAAATATAATTTAAGTGTTAAACAAATAATGTTCTTTAAAAAAAATTATAAACGCATTGATAAAATATTAAACAGTTTTTCCATCTTTACAATAATAACAATTGTTATAACAAAACTTATCTTTTTTTTTGCTTGTTTAATAGTTCAAGAAGCATAAGACATTCAAATGTTGAACCCTTTAATCTTAAAGTTCCGAGTTTGTAAACAACATTGCCTCACTCCTCCAGGAGATTATCAGTAACAAAATATTACTTCTGCATAAAACAAGAAATTCATAACAAAAATATCCTCTGATTAGGGGGTTGAAACACTAAATTGATAACCAGTCTATAAAGTTAAACAAGTTCATTAATTTTTCCAGTCTTGCATCTTCAAATCACCCACTGTCCAGCACTTTTTTTCTTGGTTCATTGTACATTATTCACAAAACATCCACTTTAGCACAAAAGTCTTGATTTTTCATACTTTTTTCCCCAAACTTTTATTTTTAAGTCTCCTGAGTTCTCCAACTATAAAATCACTCACGGTGGCCACCTGATACATTTGCAAACATTTTGGAATGGAATATTATGTCGTTTTAGACCCACTCATATAAACATTATGCTTCTGCTATTATGTTCTGAAAACAAAATCATTATAAAAACAAATTCTACAAATTTGATTTGTTCTAAAGGTCCCAAGCCAGTAAGTTTTAAAGAAATTGAATCGTGTAGTGTTAACTGTTTATAAGTTTTATAATATAACAGACAATTTCAAAGAAAACACAATTGTTACACAAATGATAAACGTATTATCACAAAATTTCAAAATCAATTTCACTTTTTTCCTAAGTTGTTGATATTTTTTAAACGAACAAAAAGCACAGCTAAAAATAGTTAATTATTATTAATTATTATAGGAAAGTTCATTTATTTCAATTGTAAATTTACGTGTAATAGCAAAGGACGAAAAATAACAAGTTATTTTTTTTTCAATTGTGCACTGAAAATCCTGTAATGATCCAACTAATTTGTAGATTTTGCACAGAATGTAAGGATTATTGCAGACATTCATTTTTAAATAATTATGCTGATGAACAAAGTTTAACGTGTTATGTTATAATCAGATTTGGTCCTAACTAGTCAAATTTTCAAAAGCATATGTCAGAAGAAAAGGAAGTTAACGGATTTATAGAGCTGATAACAATTATTCAAAATTACAGGATAAAATATACTAAAATAATATAAGCCATAACCCAAATTAATATTAGTAACGTGAAAATCAAGTGAATCCTGTGATTAATAGAATAAACTTGGCATTTTAGGCACTGCCAAGATCACAGAAGTTCCAAACATTTACTAAATCGTATGATTCATATATTCATTTTTGGTGTTTCATAATTTTACATGTGGGTATTCATATACTGTAATAATCCAAAATAAATATAAATTATATAAAAATAAGTAATCGGTAAACAAAGGAAAAAAATGCCCTAGTACTGATTATTGATTGAAATTAGATCTGTCTGAAATAACAAGCCATTAATTTTTTTATGCCAATGGCAAAATATGGTTGTGTGTTATAAGTTCATTTCACAAACGTAACTATTGCTCCCTTCTACCTCCTCTTCCTCCCCCCCGTCCTCGTCCCTCTCGATCCTGCAACATTCAAACATGTTAGCATTAAACAAATTATGTTATCAACTATAATTTTGGGTTGGATCTGTTTTAGAATTGCTAAACGTAATGTTATTATAATTTTGATATTGAACAAATGTAACCAGCCAAGCCTTTTATTAACTCTTTCTAGCAATTACACTGAGAAACAAAATAGTGGCCATCCTAATATTTTGAATTATCTCTTAGACAATCCTCCATTGGCAAGAAACGGAAAAACAAAACAAAAAGGAATTTATTTTCTGTACACTAATACATTATTCTGAGAAAAAATTAAACGATAATGTAAATGAACAGCCTGCTTTCCCTCAGTAAGTGCTTGAGAGCAGGAGTTGTGAGCAATTTTACAAAAATACATTACATATATATACAAGTACATTACAAAAATAAACAAAACGTGTTTATAGTGATAGCAGTATTCAATTTATTTGACTATTGACATTTTAAGTATTTTTTTAAATATTTATTTTATTTGTATAGTACTTTTAAAAATTGCTCTTCTTTAATTATAAATGTTAACAAAAAATAAATTTATCATAATAGGGAAAGGAATTTATATCAATTTTGTTTTGATATATGAATCTTATCCTACATTATGCAATGTGCATATAGTTATATATACATCGGGTCAATACGCTGCTACTCTACTAACCACTTGAGCTATCATGACTTCGATCCGCTCAGACTCGGGAATTGGTGTCCGAGCGGATCGAAGTCACACGTTCGAATACCGCTCGTGACACTAACTTCATCTCAACCAAGACATTACATGAAAAGAATAATTATTCAAAATCAATGAGGAGTTGTTTTGTGTTGTACTGTTTATTTAGCAATATTTACCACCATATCCCATTAAATGTGGCTGAAGAATATTTCTTAAATATTTACATTTATAAAATAATTTTACAATTTTTTTTTAACCAAAGCATGAATATGAAACTTAAAGTTGAATTTATTATCAAAAATTATTCCCAAATATTTAACTAACTATTAATTATTAAAAGTATTGTTAACTATTAAGAAAAGGGTATAATTGGGGCATTACAGTTAAATGAATTTACATTAGAATGTAATACTATGTTTTTATATAAGCTGTTTTGATTTGAGAGACTAAATTAATGATTTTAGTTTTGTATTTAAAAGTACAAAATTACTATCTAACCATTTTTTAATTATCAAAATTTCTTCTTTTTTTAAACAATTTTCCAAAGTTTACTTATTATTAGTGATAGTGTAAGGGAAATAGGCCTGTAATTGGTTAGATGGCTGGTTTGTTATTTCACTTTTTGGGCCCAATTTATGTAATGGGATTTCTTATAGATTTTTAAATTCAGTGGGGAAATGTCCAAGTTTAAAAGACAAATTATAAATATGGATTAGAGGAAGACATTATGTAAGAATTTTTTTTAAAATACAAAATTTGATAAATTATACTCAAACGTGTCTATCTTTTAGTCCATTTAACTTAGGTAGAAGTTCTTCATATAGGATATTGATTTTAGCCAAGAAAAATTTAATATAGAAGAAGTTGAACAAGATAGTCTATCGATTACATTATTTGATTTTAGGTAAGTTGAGTTAGAAATAATGCTGTTTTATATTTGGACCAACATTGGCAAAAAATTATTAATGTAGTTTGCTATTTCTATCTTTTCTGTTATAATTTTCTGATTTATTGGATCAATAATATTAATAGTTGGCTCATAGAAACTTCTTTTGTCATTAGTTCGTGATGCATTTAAGATGTGTTATCAAAAGTTGTTCCTTATATGCCTCTAATTGGCGACAGTATTACTTTTACACACAACTAGGATCATTGGTGACTCCTTGAAATGGGCTTTTCAATGTTTCGAGGGGCCAGCATACAATCCCAACTTGAACCCTGTCGAACACCTTTGGGACATAATCTACAACGCTACCTTCAAAACCTCATAAAATCGATGTCATGTTGAATGAAGCAGTGATAAACGCAAGAGGAGGAAATACTCTGTACTGAATTGACTATTTTCTTCATTGTTTCCATAGCAACATTTTTGGTACAATTGTTTTACTCATTTTTTTAAATTATTTATTTAGCTAATTTATTTATTTAGCTTTTTATAATAGCTATTTAGCTATACTATTAAATTTTTCTTTAAAAGTATCCAATAAACAACAAAAATTATAATGATTGCCGAAATTTAAAAAATTGAGGGTGGCCACTTTTTTTGTCTCTCAGTGTAGTTATTTACGCTTTTTTGAGCTATCCAAGAGTGAATTATCACATTTAAAAATAAGTCTTGAGAACCTGTAATAATATCACTAGATTATACTTGTAAAAAAATATTTTAAATTATTCTTCCTATGAACTCACTATTATTACTCGTATTTATGCAGTAAAAAGGTTCACTATTGATAATTATTTCATAATAATCAAGAAAATAGGTTTCCCTTACAAAATGATGGTGACAATTGTACAACAGCTTGTTTACTTGTATCCATTTTCCATATTGATTAATTTTAACAAAAATGGAGAGGGGGGCATTTGTTGCATGTTATAAAAGCTTTTGAACAAAACAAAATAAGGAGATTAATGTGAGCAATTTGCAAAATTTTCATAGTTGCATATCTTTTTTTTTTAAGGGGAGCAATTTGAATATATAACATTTCAATGCTTTCATAATATGATTTGTAGAAAGTTTTGATTGATTAAAATTTTTTAAATAGCAATCACAGTTATAAACCAAAACTACACATACATTAACAGTCTCTCATCCAGAGGTAATAAATTTTATTTGCTAAAAAACATCAGTCAAATAAATAAAAAAGGAAAAAGAAAAAAGCAAGGCTAGGTACTGCTGATAAATTGATGCAGTATAATCTAAAACTTAGAAAAACAATAATATAAATAATATCACATTACCTTGATTTTCCCTACCTTGTGATGTGAATTCTGGTGCTGGATGGGTTCCATTGCTGAAGCTTCTTTTTTTGAATCTTCCTCTTCTTGCCTTCTCTCATAATGAATAAAGTCATCGAAGATAGATGTTGTATGTCTATAAGTGTGCATGACACGTAATACCTGTTTGCCCCGTTCGTGTGGCACTTCCTGTGTATCCCGAGAATTGGTCACAGGTTTGTTTTCATTGTTCTCAAGTCTTATGTGCTTCAGTTGAGTGTTCGGAACGTCTTTAACATAAATCCACCTAACACGGAACTGTCCTTTCCATTTGTCCTGAGACCATACCGAACTGGACGCGTTATAGTCAACCGCGGACATCATACGCGCCATACCACAGAAATGCCCGGAACCGTTCACTGAAAAAAACAAATAAACTACACCGCCTTCCACTAGTTTGCGCTCGTGAAACGCTTGATCAAGTCTCTTATTTCCGTGCTCTGTCGAACACCATATCTCGTATTTAATAGACCGGTGAATGTCATCTTCCGAATAAGATTTTATTACAAAAAACCTTGCTTCATTCGCGGATAAATCAAAGTCCACTGGGTTGTAATTGTTTTTAATTCTAAGCTCGTCCAATACTGGATGCGAAGGTATGGATGACTGAGATTGTGGAATCATCTGCTGAGGAGGAGGGAGTTGGGCTATCGGCTGAAAAAATAAAATTGTTTCCTCATTTTAAAAATGTGTTCTTCAAATTATAATTAATAAATTTCTAGAGATAAAAACACCGTTTTTTGTTTTTATTGGCCATGAGCAGGATGAGCTTTCTTTCATATAAAATTTGTCCTAGTACTGGAGGTGAATCTGTTTCTTTTTTCTTATACTGAGAGGTCCACTATCAGATGGGAAAAAACATTGGGTAATAATAGAATATAAATAGCATATAATGCTGCGCAAAAACGGGTTTTCTGGGATGATGACTTAAAGGGATGACTTAAAAACAATCTCAATTTCAAAGATAAACACGAAGGTGACAGAAACTGTTTGAAGTCCAACTTCTTGGAATAGCATTCTATGCCATGTTTACTATCGCCAATTTTTTTTACATCCCTTAGCAGACCAACCTGTACTGTAAAGCATCTAAATATGAATTATTTGACAGTAATATTTATCACTTATACATGATAGTAATAATAAATATGTTTTAGTCAATGTAAAGTATTCACTAGTTTTGCTTGTTTTAATTTAACAACAAAGCAATACTTCTATCACAAAATATTAAGGAATGAATGAACCAAGATAGCATTTTATTAATGATAATAGTTATAACATAAAGAACAAATAATTCACTTATTTTTAAATATTTATCATATACAATGCATTTTGTGTGGGCAGATATGTTAGAAAAAATAATATAATAATAACTCACAAAAGCTAGTGTAAAAATAAAAAGGAAATAAATAATGTACACATTGCAGTTAACGTGTATAGTCCTATTTTAATGGATGCACTCTAAGCCACCTTAACAGACCTTTTATTTCAACCTAATTTATCAATGATTTAATTAAATAATCGCTCGAGTCTGCTGTTGCGAAGATGAGTTGAAACAAAGAAGTTTTAATAAATAAATATTATAGAAATAATAAAAATAATAATAAAGAATGGAAACTCAGTGTAATCGTGAGCAAAATGGACAATATAAGAAGCAATAATTTCGTAAACAAATAAATCAACAGAAAGGAAAGATTTTTCTCCAGAAAAGTAATCAATTATGTGTAAAGGACCAGTATTATTTTGGCCTTAAATAGAAAAAACAAGCAAAAAACAATGTTTTATTTGTTGTGATATTTAAGGTAAATACCTGTGGTGGAGGTAGAGGTTGGGGAGGAGGAACGATTGCCACAGGATGCCTATGAGGTGGAGGTGCAGGTAAGTATGCTTGGGCTTGAGGAGGGGCAGTCGCCCTCATTGGTCCTGGCCACGTGGGCCTAACGGCAGGTGCAGGCGGCAGCGGCGCCTCGATCCCTGTTTTAACGACACTGCTGTTATTCTTGCTCTCCCAGGTCCCTATGTCCATGTGCTTCCCTAGCACCATCGGCCGGGGAGGCATGCCTAGAACCCGATTGAGAATTGCTAACAATTTTGTGAAGTGGTTTGGCAGTTGTTAATCAATGTAATACCTGGGCCTTTTTTCTTGATCCCGATCTGGGGCGGCTTCGCAGGCTGACTAGCGATTGTTGCCCAAGTCATTTTCTTGGGCTGGTTGACACTCCCCATGTCCTTGATCTCTTTGTTCTCACCTTTTGGATCAGTCAAGCCCAGTCCTTGCATCCCGTGTTCAATGCCCTTGAGAGCTTCAACTCCTGAAGGACCGACATAAGAAATTAATCATTAATTTTGAAACTTTACAACAATTATATTATAAATTTATTATAATAAATATACCAGGATAAATTGGAAACTCATCATAGTGAGGCTTTCTCGACATGGCAGCAGAATTCCCCCAGGTGGAGTAGTCTCCGTTCCCATGGAAGTAATTAAAACCTGTTGCAGGAGCTGCTGCTTGGCCGAATGCACCACCAAACATCCCATCCATACCTTAAAAGTATAATTTCATTAACATATAACCCGTGAAAGCATTTTCCTCACAAGAAAATTCATCCCTTTAAACAAGTACTAAAAATACCTAGTTAAAAAATAAATAAATAAAAAGAAAATAAATTCGAACAGAATGAATAAAAAGAAAAGGAGAACTATTCCTTAATACTAAGAACAAATCAAATCACATGCAAACTGGTAAAATAATAATAATATATATATATCAAGGTTTAAAAGCAATTTTTTTAGGAACATAATCTTTAACACTTGTATAAAAAAGAAGAAACAAACGAAAGAATTGCATCATCCGTCAAGATGGTTATATGGTAATATTCTTATCTTTCCTGTTATTAAATATTTTACGAGATGTTAAATATTTTATGTATTTATGAGACTAATAAAACACAATTAATTGCTTATAGATAATAATGATGAAAAATCAGAGAGGTTTTTCGACGACTGACCATTTTCAAGCAATACATTAAATAATTGAGAATGTACATGAATAACAATTACACTAAGCCCTTATTGAACAAAATAAGCTTTTGATTTTTCTCATCATAATTATTTGCTTAATTCACTGCAACGAGTCGGACTAAACAACCCTTGTTTCGTCTGAATCTCAAGAGATTTTCGACACACATATCAAATTTAAATGGGTTTTCTTAAATGATTTTCTTAAAAATTTCCGAGGTGCTTAGACCTGAAAGGGGTTATGTGCAGCTAGAGTGTACCTTTAGGGACAGGGAAGAACGACAGCAACTCTCCCAGGTCCCTTTAATATCAATAGAAACCATGAGTGAGAAAGAAGTGCATGTCTCCAGCATGTCTGGAGCAACAGATTATCATTAAGTTTTTGACCAAGGAGGGGGAGAATCCAGCTGAAATTTTGAGGCGATTAAAGGCACAGTATGAGAATAAAAGCCCTGTTAAGAACCCGTGTCTTTGCTTGGCACAAATTTTCTGGAGGGCGTGAAAAGGTTGAGGATGATGGTTGCCACCCTAGGATGAGTGTGTCAAGGTGCCTGACCAGGCAGCTTTTCATGTTGACTTTTTCTATGATCAACACACAATTAACGCATAATGCTATTTTGAATTATTAGATACTGAAGGATTTTTGAAGGAAAAAGATAAACAATCAGCCAGAAATGTCATTCTTCTGAATGACGTCAGGCCTTATATGGCAAATGGCAAAGGCAAAAATTGGATGCAATAGAATCGGAAATGTTAGAACATCCACCCTACAATTCAGATTAGTCACCTTGTGACTTTTATATTTTTGGAATCACATGGAGCCCAACGACAACAAAGAAGTGAAAGCTCCAATGACTACAAGAAAGACACAAGAGTTTTTATGATGATGCAATAAAAAACTCCCAATATGATGGGAAAAATGTATTTCTAGAGCAGGAGAATTGTCTAGAAAAATATGTTTTTGTAAACTTAAGGAAATAAAATTAGATTTTTTTTTAAATTTATATTTGATACACCCTTGTACCAAGATGGTCAAGTTCATGTAATACTACATGCGATAAGTTTCATTTTTTAATGTGGTAAAAAAGGTCAAAACAAGGTGTTCCAAACCTATTAACATAGCATTGGAAAACATGAAGACCTAAACATTAATAACAAACATCTTTCACATCTGAGATCAATATTTTTTTTTCATGTTTCTTTATAACCTATATAACGTTTTACGACAAGCAACACTTTTTTTTCAGCTCAATTATTTTTTTAAAGCTTTATAACAATGGCTATTTGTAGTGTGTATTTAACAATTGTGACTCAATGGGTTGAAATTTAAAAAACAAAACAAAAAAAAAACACCTGAATTGACCATTTTACTTAATCATTCAGATATCGTGAGATGCGGTCGGGTGTGATGTAGGTTTCAGAAAAACATTTTCTTTATCGTGCCAACGTTTCGATCTTTTATTGAGATCATCTTCAGGGCTCAAAGTGTTTGTCTTCTGTGTAATTGTGCCATCCTTGTGTCGTGTTGAGAGTGCCCCATGCTTGTGGGCACTCTCAACACGACACACAAGGATGGCACAATTACATAGAAAACAAACACTTTGAGCCCTGAAGATGATCTCAATAAAAGATCGAAACGTTGGCACAATAAAGAAAATGTTTTTCTGAAACCTACATCACTCCCGACCGCATCTCACGATATCTGAATAACTATAGATTAACGGTCACTAATCTCTACACATTTTACTTAATCTTAACACGCTGTTCAACAACCTGCTAATGATCCAAACTTACTGTATGAGTCAGGAGCCATTTGGCCTCCATATCCTCCCAAGAAAGTCATCGGATCGCTGTTAGACCACGTGCCATCTCCCACTCCAAATGCTTGGTACGGGAATGACGTCCCGTAGTAGTTTGGCATGTAAGGATCTGATGCCATTGTTGTTGATATCGGTGTGGTGTAACCCTGGCATAAAAAAATATAATTATTAAAATGAGACCTAAATTCCTTTTAATGCAAGTATTACCTGATGTTGTTGAGCTCTCCATGTGTCAAAGTCTTCATGTTCTGTCACGTGTTCCTTAGGACCATTTGTTACTGTGCAAACAAAACATCAATTATAAAAAATTATATCAATAATGAAATAATATTAATAAAACAACTCAACCATGGCACAGTTATAAGTCTAAAGGCTAATGATAGTGAATATATTTTACACAGAAAATATTAGTTTTTGTTTAAAAATATATTTTGAACAAAATTGCCGAAATTTAGGTTTGTGACATATATTAAATCTATGAATGGAAAATTTCGTCAATCGTAACTGATAACCCCATATCAGAGGGGAAATGTAGACTGTAATTTTTAAATAAGACCATTATCAATATTTAGAATATTAGGATCAACGATCGTAATTGGAAACATAAAGATACCAAAAACATAATAAATACTAAAACTGATAAGAATATAACACAAGTAATTTAATTGCTACATGCTGAATCATTATATTTGTAAGTAAATAGAAGATGACTTGTGAAATAATGAAAAACTTAACTAAAAAAAAACTTCCATTAATAATTTTTTCTTTTAAAAATATAAATATTTTCCTATCAATTGGTGTATATCCTATCGAAATTAATATGGCTTATTTACTTGGCCATTTAGCATAATGAATTTTACTAGGTATAAATTATAGTTTTAAAAAAAGCTGAAAATTCATATATTAAAACATTCATTATAATTTTTTTTTAAATCTATGATCCCAAATATTAAGTATAAAAAATTCTGACAACAATAGTTTTGAGAACATTTTTCTAATCAACATTCTCTGTTTCAATTTAGGGAGAGAAAAAAGTATGTTGTTATAAAATAGTAATTTGCATCACCTACAATCAAAATTGTCATCATAAATACTGGTTTATTTAAAAGTAAGTTTTGAAGATTATTAATGAGTGATAAAAGAAGTTGACAAAATGACAAATGAACAAGCCGGCAAAAGGCAAGGTTTGTTATCTCCAAGACTTTTCATAACTTTCCCTGGCAGAAACTGAATTTTATCCTATCGCATTGAAAGGGGGAAAAACTAAGTAAACCAATTTACTAATTGGTGAACTTTGGCACAATTCAACTTTCATCGGTGAGCAACATACGAAAAATACAAATTACTCTGACAAACATGTCAAACATATTTGACAGGGATGTGAAACAAATACAGGGCAATATCATTTTGTTTTTTTTATTTTTTTTATTGCCATGCTGATTTCCAACAAGCCAAAATCTAAAGCTAAGGATGATTATGGACAGTAAAGCCATTAAACTGATTTAAATTTGATTCGTTCCTGCAAATTTCTTCCTTTTCTAACTAAAGTAAAATATTTAGACTTTAATTTTTAAAAATCACAATTGGTAAAGAGAATCAAAACTGATTTACAAATTGTGAATTCTTAGAAGTATTTTACCTTTATCTAAGCTAAAATCAATTAATTTCATCTTAGCACAACTCATATTATTATTGGATTAGCAATAGGGAGGAACTAGTAATAATATATTACGAGCCCTAACAGGCACTCAAAATTGCCAAATAAAAAACATTTTTAATTAAACCATGAATGTAAAACAGAGGTACTGAATAAGGAATTTAAATTTTTATTTTGAGGAATTTAAAACAACTATTTTAAAAATATGTCTTCATATGTTTAAATATAAATTATTTCATGAATCCCTAAACTTATATAACACAAGATAAAACTTACCATGATTAACCAAAAATAAATACAACTAAATACTACAATTTTTTATAACGGCGAACTTAAATATATTTATGATAATACTAATATCAGTAATTTTAGAACTTTAGTCGATTACAAAAAATTTATACATTCTTGACTCAAATGATGTTTTTTTTTAAAATTAATATTATTTTTTTACAAAATTTTATTATAATTTAGACATTGTTAATTTCACAACACCTGCTATCTGGCACAAGTATGTTTTATACTAATGGAAAGCAGGCCCTAACAGAAGAATAAAAAAATTACTTTTATAATTATGCACTATTTAATTATTTGTTGACTTCAAATCCAAAAAACTGTATTATCTTTTGCAACTTCCATTTTGGTGAAATAAAGATTAACTATTTATTATTATTAGAACAGCAAGATTAGCATACCAATATGGTCAGAAATGACCCAACTATATGTTCTTATTTATTAACATATTTTGTTACTGAGGGGCGAACACTTTAGAAGAACAAGAAAGCAAAGAAGAAAACCACGATTAGTTTATACCGTTGAGTTTATTTTCTGAATCATCACTTTGCGTCTTGAGGAAAAATAAACAAAAAATATTGTTATTTGCTTATCGACTTTCAAAGGGGTTTGAAAATTATAAAAAATACTTAATTGTTTGATAATAAATTTCAAATAAAGCATTTTTTCCACATGAAGGTGGAACTTTAGACGTATTTTTAGCCAGTCGATCTATTTAGATAGAAATAGGTAAAAACTTTGTTTTTAATAAGTACAGTATAATGAGGAAAATGTTGGCTTTACAAATATGAAACTTCTTACCAATACAATTTATGTCATTTTATTGGTAAATAAGTTTTTTTTTAGTTGTTTCTAACCTTACAAAACAGTCTTAGAGAGAAACCAAGAAGTGCTGTTATTTGTATTGATTGAAAATTAAAGATGCTTGATATTAAAGAGATTGGCAGTATTTTCCAATGTCGGCAGAATTCGTAAAAACTTTTTTCCAACGGGGATTTGCAACTGCAGAGGTTTATGAACCCCCACGGTTAGTTTTTTTTTTTAAATAAAAAAAAGCCCATTTGTAAGTATGTCGAGTACGAACGCAGGGCCACTGGATTTGAAGCCTGGACATTTACCTTACAGTGATAGCGCTGTGTCGCCAAAACCATTGCGGCCACGGACACCCCAAATTTTGTTTTTAATATTTGAGAAGTGGAAAAGCAGTGGTATTTTAGTGTAAATATGTGCTAATCAAATTGTAATTTTTTTAAATGTAACTTTTGTTAAAATACAGATATGTTAGTGACCTCTAATTTTAGAAATCAAAGATAAAAACATAGCTGTATTAATCTATTTAAATGTATGTATTGTACGATGACTTTATAATATAAAGTAAAATGAATGCAGAATACTGAAAATTAGGGAATTCTTAACGATGGCATTCTTCACAGACTTTGGTCAGTTGTATGACAAGATTTTGACTTTGGTCACGAATAAAAACAGACCCAATAAGTGACCCAATGCAGGTTCAGCATTTCACAGACTCACAGGCCAACTCCCAGTATCAACTTGATTATCAAATCAATTGCTTGAAAACTTTATACTGTTCTTTGGTGTTATCTATCCTCAGGTTTGGTCTCTTTTTGGACAAGTTTTTAAAATATTGTTCTTTTAAATTGCATCTACATTTTATCAATTTCAATCAAATATGAACTGTTGTATCAATTGAATTAGAATTAAGAAGGATCTGTGTGTAGTTTTATGACAATTTGGTTTGGATTAATTTTGTAAGTAGAATTAATTACAATGTTTCTGGAAAAAAAGTAGGCACACTAGGCTATTTGATATTATTCATTGAGTTTACCATATCTAATTATATTAATTTTATAACTTTAAATGTGATTGTTTATAGTCAACAATTTAAGTATGTTAGTATGTTTAAGTGCTGTATTATAACTATTAGATATGTCAGGTTTGATAATAAAGGAAACTATGCCGGTCAGTAATGACGACTCTTCATATAGAGCAACATATGTAGTATTAAACATAAGAAGTATTCCAGAGCGTTTAATTTTATTATAATATTGGTAAACACTTAAGAAGCTGTTGACTAGAATAGTATTTGGTTTCTTTGGCCAATATTTATATGTTAACATTTTCAAACAAAATAGGCTTATTTTATTATGTATTTCTGAGTCGAATGCCATTAATTTTTAGGACAAATTCTGACAAAAACTGTCACATTATTTATTTGTGTTTATTGAATTTAACGATGTGTAAAAATGATGCTTATTTATTTGTAAAACGAACATAAAATAGCATAGAATTCCCAAGCTGGCTGAATTTTGGGAATGCCAGACTTGAAAATTACCCGTTGAATACAAACGATAATTTCTGGTAAAAATTGCAGAATTTTATTGCATTTTTCTGCCCCCTCCTCAGGATATCAGAATACGAAGTTTAGTATAAGGAAAAAATAAAAAGAATAATAAGTTACTTTTTTCTTTCTGGGAAAAGGAGGTGACGTGATTGATTTTTCCGTATGTATAAAATTTGACAAGATGATTGCAATTTTACCTATTGAATATTAATGCTGAAATGAAAATGGATGTAACTGGACTATTATATATGTAGTTTATATTATATGAAAATAATTAAATAGGATGTTTCAGTTGTTTATTATTTGTATATTTCCTTTCTGACTTTAATGTAACAAAGCTAAATAATAGGCAAAAAAGTGTGAATTTTGTATTTATTTATTAAGATTAAAAGATGCTTTAAGATAGATTGCAAATGTACGGTTTGAATAATTAAGTGGAATTGAAAATATATTATATACTGAACTGAATTGACTGAATATATTATAAGTATTACACTGCTCTCTACCTAATGAGAACTTGATAGTCCGAGCGTTCCAGCAATCCAAACTGGGGAAAAAATTTATGAAGTGAGAATTTAAAAGAATTTTTTTTTGGGGGGGGAAGGAGCGTATGAGAATGAGGGTAAGAGAGTAAGAGAGAGTGAATGATGAAGTGTGAAGAAAAGAGAAGGGTGAGTGAGATTGTGTGTGTGAGTGTGTGAGAGAGAGAGAGATGGAGAGAGAGAGAGAGAGAGAGAGAGAGAGAGAGAGAGAGAGAGAGAGAGAGAGAGAGAGAGAGAGAGAGAGAGAGAGAGAGAGAGAGAGAGAGAGAGAGAGAGAGAGAGTGCATGAGGCAGTGAATGAAAGAAAAAGAGAGAGAGAGTGCATGAGACAGTGAATGAAAGAAAAAAAGAGAGAGAGAGAGAGAAAAAGAAAAGAGAGTGATTGTGAGTGAGGGGTCACACGAACGAACACTTTAGAAGATTTTCATTTTCCACAATTTATTTTGTCCAGTGAATCCCTGACCTCTCTTCACTACTAAAAAATGCAATGTTAGATCAATGAACATTAACATTTAGTAAAATGTACCTACTGGTTAAAATTGAGCGAAAAATAAGAAGCCATTAAGGAAATGTTATAAAATACAAAAAAAAAAAAGATTTTTTAGGTTTAACTTTTTTCTTATGTATTTTTTAGCTCTGTAATCCGAATTCTATCCTGCAGAAATTAGTTTGGATTACTGAGAGAGCACTATACTTGTAAATCAGCTAACTTGGAATGTTATTTTATTTAAATATCCCCCCCCACCGGTGTGTTTATTTTCTGACCTTAGCGTGAATTGTTGCTAGATAAGAGACGAACAGGAGATAACATGATTTATTTATTTTTAATCCAATTATGCTACGGTGTTTTAAGTGCACTGAATGCAGTTTTGTTCTCGTATCTCTTGGAATTCTTCAGGGCCGGATTCACGGACGGTTTTTCCCCAAGATTAACTGAAAATAAAACACGACGAGGAAAAGGTTTTTGGTTTATTTTCCGACCTATTCTTCTCATAGATAGACTGAGGAAGTTACGATTAAATTGTTAACGGTGATTGTTTCCCTTTAAAATGTCTATGAGGAAACTGCGTTTCCGATTTTTCCGTACGGTTAGATTTTAAGATAAAGCTGAGCCAAATCACGGGATATCTAATTGTTTTATTTTTGTGAATTTTTTTTAAAGCTGAGAATCGGCATTTGTGAAAGGGAGACTGGTTTAGAAAGTCAAACGGTGCCAGTTCGATGGATTTTCTCTGTAGATTTTCCTCTTTTTTTTTTTTTCTTTCAGACGGCCGATAAGGGAAGAAGTGAAGCGAGAGCGGTGTTGTTTATCCCGATTGACAGCGGTCGAAATAAATAAATAAAACGTAAACATACCTTGATTCCCTTGTCCTTTCATCCGCTGGGCGGCCCATGAAAAACAAAGAAAAAAATCGAACGTTAGCCAAATCAAGATGGAAATGAGAAAAAAAGCCTTAGCCGTGTCTGGGACGGGTCCCGGCTCGGCTGAAAAGGGACGAATCCGTTGAAAAACACGTCCATTGCACCTACCTGGTCTGTCACGCCTGCTGACATTACCTATATCTCGTCTTGATGTTGGAGCCTAGGATTGAAAGGGAGGAGACGGGCGAGCCCGCGGTTGGAACGACGGCCGGCGGCAAACACACCAGAGACGATGAAACGCTACAAAACCCCGTCCATGGGGATAAGAACGAGCCGGACAACAAAAATATTCGCCTAACCGACTGGAAATATGGCGACAGTCGACCGACGGTGGATTCCGGACGGGCGCTCGTGCGCAGGCGCCGAAGAGAAAACAGCTGGCGACCTCGATAACGACTTAAAACGCAATTTCCACTATTTACGCGAATATCGGGTGAAATTATTCTGAGGCGTCGAGGAAAAATGAACCGATCCCTGTTTCAAACCGGGTCCCGATCGCCGTGGAAAACTAAGAGACAAATCGTTCAAACGGCCATCTCCTCCATTAAACTTCAACCCCCCAGGTAAAAACGAAGTCGGCTTTTTTGTACGACCTAACGATAAAAAAAAACTCTTTGTACATTCCCATGAAAAAGTTTATCTTTTGTGTTAAACTTGATCATTTTTCACTCTTGAAGCTTTCTAATCAAGTTGGTAATCAACAAAAAAGATCGGCCATCTTTATTACGTGGGCTAAAGGATTACAAAGCAACGAGGAGCACAGAGAAAAATAATTTTCAACAAATTCCAGTCCTTATTAATTTACAATAAACCCATTAATACAGATTGCCTATCCCCGTCTAATATTAATAGCTCAACTAGAAGAAAATCACTCTCTCTCCCTCACACACACTCACTCACTCATTCTCTCACATACAGAACTCATTACTCTCTCTCTTTCTAGCTCGCTCACTCCCACCCACTCTTTCTCTTTTTATATTCTTTTTTCTTTTTATATGTAGGAGAAAAACATCAATGATTATAATTGCCTTTGTACTACCAGTGGTTTGTTGGAAATTATGGAAATTTATATAAGTTTATATATATATATATATATATATATATATATATAAAATAATTTCTCGTTTTGAGACTTTGGATTACTTGTTCAGTTTTTTCTGTAGACGAATGGCCGACTTTTGCGCAAGTATCGAACAAACTTGAACTTGCAACCGGTGTTTACATACCAATGTTTACATTGGTATAGATGTGTCGACACAAATAGCTAATGGTTGAATTATATAATATACACCTGTGACATAAATTCTTCACTTTAGCCACGATTTCTGCCTGACATAAGTATCATGCCATAACTGTCACATGTAAACGTACCAATAAAGATCTACTCAAGCCATCATTATTTTGGACGTCTTAAGCTTTTTCACTCCACAGAAAACTAAAGTTTTTCTTAGTTTATTCCGTGATAGTTTAATTAATTTAATTTGTTTATTATTTTATTTGTTTATTATTTTATTTATTTATTTATTTATTTATTTATTTATTTATTTATTTATTTATTTACCACCGAATACCTGGCTTCGGTCAACCTTAATATTCTATCTCACCGTGGACTCAACTATAAATAATTTATAATGATATAAAAAAATCATGGCTGTTTAAAACTTATAAAAATTAAACAAAAAGAAAAAATATGTAATATTTTTTAATAGTTTTATTTTTGGATGTTATCCCAGCTCCTCGCTCCATTTGTAATCCTTTAGTGCGTTCGTTCTTCTCCCCGCCACGTTGCGACTTCCATAAAGCACAAACTCCATTACGTTCTCTCACTCGGATCGGTGAACACGTACGGTGTACAGTAGCGTTCTCGCCTTTTTTGGCCAACCGTGATTTTTGGGTATGTATTAGAATTTGTTTACATTGTTTTCACATTTAAACAAACTCGAATGTTCTGTAATAATAATTGTCATCTTTTGTCCCCGTCTGTAGGTTCTAGTAGACGAAAATGGTCGCACAGAAAAAACAGGTAAGACCACGTGTTTCAACTATGTATTTTCCTTATTTATTCTTACGTTTGTTAAAGGTTTATACTATTTCTTCTTTTATAAGCTCTATTAGCAAATTGCATCGTAATTCTTAACATAGATTTGATCAATTAAACTTAAAATTTATTTTTAGCGTAATATAGGTTATAATTGGCAACGTGGACTTAAACTCTATTGCACGATTTTTTTTTGGACTCATTAGAATTGTTTTAAACTCTTTAAAATACTCCATCATATGCCGTTTAACCCAGCTTAATGCAAATGCGATTAATATAAAATTCCACGTGTTGGTTTTTTCAAAAACCAGACCCTAGAGATGCTACAAGGACTTTTTGTCAGTTTGAGCTGGGCTAAAGGTTGTTTATTCCAGTCGTTTGCCCTCGTTCGATACTGGTTAAATAGTAAATGTAAACTTACACAGTAAACTACACCGGCAGCTGTGTTAACCGAGCGGTTAGCGTGACTGTTGGCTCATAGATGAAGTTTTCGGTTCGATTCCCACCGTTGCCCTTTGAATTTTCTGAACACTCTTCCCTTTGTAAAAGTGAATACAATATGATTATATTGTTTCTGGCCAATATGGAAAACGTAAGGACGTCTGAAGATGTTAAAACTATTCTTCTCTATGACAAGCCATCACAGTTTTTGGTTGGTACCAAATCCTCATTATTCAAGTTGTTGGCCCATGTTCAAATACTGGTGGTGTAGAAAAAGTAGGTTTTATTCCCACCTTTGACTCTCGAATATCCTAAATACTCCCTCTATAAAAATGAACGCAATATGATTCAATGACCATAAAGAAAGCGGTCTTTGAAAATGTGAGGGCTACTCTTTTTGTCTAGTCCAACGGAATTTGGACCAAACTTTTTTCTTCCCAATCCTTGGCCCCCTTCAAATTTTTGTTGGTTAAATGGTTAAAATGTAAAACTACTCGGATGACTGCGGTAGCCGGATTGCTAGTGTGGCAATTTTTTTTAATAGTATTATTTCTGATATTTAATAACCAATCTGTGAATTCAATGGAAACTCCATCCGCACGTGTATTCTTAGACTATTTGAATTTCTGAAAGTATTAGTTGCACCTTGAATCTGCATAGAATATGGACCTGTTCTCTTAGATCTTGATTGTTATAATTTGAAATTGTGTTGGAAAACTGTTTATCATAGGTGACCATAAAAATCTGTGCCTCCCCTCCCCATGATTCATAGTAATGAAAAAATCGGCCCCGTTTCGTTGATGTTGGTTACATTACTCTCCCCAAAAAATTTTAAATGCATTTTGTAGACACATGTGGTGGCGACTTCTAATGATCCTTTAATACAGATCTGAGCCTACAATGAAATTGCAATAGTTTCCACTTGGAAAGAACTTTGCCAACGATGTGGAGCCTAACGCTTTCCATAAAATCTTCCCTTACGTAAAATCACAAGGCCCTAAATAGATAGTTGCTGTCAGTAGTTACCTCACTTTTAGTCGGGCTTTACCCCCGAGAATGGTGAGAAGGGAAAACTGTCTTAAGGTTAGCCCTGAAAAGGGCTGGTTGGAATTTGATTTCAACACGTCAGTGGAACACATATTGAAATACTGAATATCTGTTCCCTCGATTAAAAGAAAAAAAAAACAGAGGGAAGAGATCTTGTAATAAAAAAAAACTTCCATAACTTAGCGAATTGTAATACAAATCCGTTTTTAGTGAATTTTTTAATTTGATTAGTCTAAAATAGCTGTTTAATACTGTAAATATTGTAAGTGTAATTGGGTTTCCGTAGCAAGAGGGGGGAGGCAAGCATTGTTGCGACTCACGATAAACTGTATGATGTGCTGGGTGTCCCCTCTTGTTCTCATTTGGTTAATAATAAAATTATCCTTATATAATTACTATTGAATCCTGTTTAATCCTTACTCTTGTTTCTAACTTCTGATTAATAGTACTTCTTTAAAAAAAAAGATAGTCATGTAAAATCAGTAAAAAACATAAACCAGCTAACTTCCCGATTAAAATAAGTACTGGTAGCAATTGATTATAAATTTCAAATCAGGCTTATTTTGTAGAAGAAATGTTCCTCTTTCCGACAATGTATAATATGACATGATTTCTTTAAGTTTAAATTGAGAAAATAGTGAGAAGTGAAAAATTGTATTTAAGCATTTACACCATTAAAATCGTACAAGTCCTTTTCTCTCACACTTCAGCCAAAACTTTTTTAATGTTATAGATTGATTACATTATGCTGCTATTGCCTATGATGTCATTTTTGTATTTGCTACTCTTGAGTCTAATGATGAAAAACCATAGCTGAGGCTTTAGCAATTTAATTCAACTTTATATTAAAATTTTAAACTTTATGATTGTTTTATTTGTATTATTAAGTTATTTTTTATGTATTTTTTCAGAAAAAAGCATTGGAGAGTATCAACTCTCGTCTTGCCCTTGTCATGAAATCGGGCAAGTTCGTCTTGGGGTTCAAGCAGACACTGAAGACTCTTCGCCAAGGGAAAGCAAGGCTCATCATCATCGCCAAAAACACCCCTTCATTAAGGTGAGGCTGAGAAGTAGGTCTATTTAGACCTATGGAGTAGTCTCAAATATTTAAAAGTGCTGAAGGTTGCTTAGAGCTTGTGATTCAAATTCAAAGGAATCGCAGCCTCATTGGCTTCAGCGTGAGTAATAGCAATATGTATATTGTCTTTATTTTGCTTGCATATTCAAGTTTAATTTTAAATGGCCCAATGATGATATTTTATTTGCTACTGCTGAAAGTTGTATTGATGAGAGCATGTATTGAGGGCCCCAGTCTTAATTGGATTTTATTTCAATTGATTAATTACGTTTTGTTGATAGTATTCATCAACAAGAAAATAAATTTGTAAGATTTATATTACAGAATGTTATTATTATGCTCTCAAGTTTTAAATGTGTTCAATATAAAGGCCCTTTTATACATTTTTTTATCAAAAAATTGTAGGTTTAATATTCTGCTATGGGAGCAGTTCATACAGAAACATTTTACTTACACAGTAACACTTTTTGTGATCAAAACTGATGTTCAAACCGACTCATATTTTTCTGGTAGATGCACTAGGAAAATAACCTCTTAGTTTTGAAACCTGAAACTAAAATTAAGGGATTCAGTACTTTGTTTGTCTAATTTATTATTTAAATTTCTTATTTTTTCCCTTTCCTTTGGTAACGGAAAAAATAGACTTGAAAAAGACATTGATTTCAACTGTGGGAAATGATGGTTTGAACTGGTTTATTTTTTTAACTGCTTTAAATTTAAAGAGAGTTATAGAACACGTGCCTAAATCTAAAAAAATTTCTTTATTTAAGGATCGTCTATAAGACCACAGTAGCTGAGTGGTTAGCGTGAGAGACTCGACTCTTAGACCCCGCGGTCGTGGGTTCGATTCCCACTCACCTCTGGCCCTTTTTTCAAGGGGGATTATGCATAATATATTGTCTGGCATGTATATGCATAGTTCATGAGGCCATTAAAAAATAAAAAAAAAATTAAGGATCATATTGCTTGTAGTCTTATTTGGGGAATGGGCATCAAATAAATGTTTCCTCCAGAGTTACTGGAGGGAGGAAAAAAAGGATCATCTAAATAATCCAAGGTGCACAGCTTCAATTTAAATTTAAATGTGTGGTGATTAGTGACAGTTAATCGATAATCATTCAGAAATCGTGAGATGAGATGTTTGATCACACCAGACCGCATCTCACGATCTTTAAATTTAAACACAATATTTACAGTTTCAACAAAGGGAAGGAAACTGGATTGGTTTGAAAATTTTGAAATAAAAAATGTATAATTAAACACGGAGATAAACGAATAAATAATACATATACAGTTGAATCTTGATAATTCGAAACCCAAGGGACCACAAAAATAATTAAAATTATCAAGGGTAAAGAAAAAAATTGTTAACAATTTTTTATTACAAATTATTATTTAAATTTTAAATAAAATCATAGTAAAAATAATGAAAAAGCACAAATAGATCAACTGTATGATTGAACATAGTTACGAATTATTTAAAAAAATCGTGAAGTGATTTTCATTTTAATGGGGCCTGGTATCTCTTGTATTTAAATGATTTTCCGAAGTGACCAGTGCTGAGAACACATCGACATAACACTGAGTGCAGGGAAAAAAATTGAGAAAATTCAAGGAAACTTAAGATTGTAAAGAAGAAGTAAACAATACGTGGAAATTTAGAGGAATACATTAACAAACAAAAAAAGTGCAAATTTTCAAGATGAGAAGTGGCTCCATTTCGATTAATAGCATGTTTTTTCTCTCTATTACGAAAACTGTTGTATTAACGAGGGTATCAAAAGGCACAGAATTTTCAATTTACCGAAGTGACCTACTGAGGAGTTGTATTGCCAAGAAATTCGAATTAACAAGAGTCGACTGTATTTTGATTTAGGCCTAATTTTAAACCTGTACTTAACTGGAATTCGACATGCAAATTAATCCTCAATTTAAAATTATTTTTCTTACAGTATATATTAGTATAATATTTAGTTGTGTTGTGTTTTTTCACACGTTCAAAATTGAACTTCATGAAAAACCAGCTTCTTGTGTTTGTATTGTTTCACAGTCTGATGATAATTTATTGCTCGAAATCCAGATAGCTGTTAAAATCAGTTTGGGAGTAGAACTACTCTTCCCAAAAAATGCTTAAAATTTGGAGTACAAAAAGGAAAGTTCAGTTCGGTCCGAAAGATGGATTTCACACCATCACCTAGGTCGAGGAGTATTGAATATGGGAAAGCAATTAGTAAGTTGATTAACATGAGCGCTGCTTACTTGTTCAATTGATATTTTCATAAAACAACTTACCTTGTGCAAAAGAGCATAGGAAGCATTGGCTGGACAAACTATGCACTGAAAGGCAAAAACCGTGGCCACTCTTAATATTTTTAATTATCTCTTAGGCAATCATCCATTGATTATCTCACTACAATATTTGGTCCGTTATAAAGGATTAGAGGCAAGTAAAACAGATGAAATGTATCACTTTGTGTTTACTTTTGATTTTGTAAATATATCTTTAAATAGTCATTTGTTTTTTGTTGGTTTTTCTGTAAAGTTTCATTTGTTAGCACCACTCAGATATTAAGAGGGTAAGGACTTTTACTTTTTTTTTTTCTAGTTCTTTCTTAGTTTTTGCATTAATTGTTGCAGCCAGATAGTCTATGAAGGCAGTGCATTCGATTCTGGGGCTCTAGTCTTCATAGTTTGGCTATGAGGGTGTCGAAAATGCCATTCTAGCAAGTAGGTTCTAGCATGATCCCTGGGCAATCTTTTGCTACATGGCTATTGAGTTCTTAAACTCAATTTTAAGCCTTTCAATTTTCAAAATGACTCCTTACTAGTGAGAAGAGGTTTCTTGGGCAGTTTTCCTTTTTGAGTTCTTCCAGTAGGAAGGATCATTGTAAGTTGTCAAAAGCTCCCTGTATGTCAAAGAACCCAGTTAACCAGAATTTCTCTTTGCTTTGTTTTATGTCATTTTTTAATGTTAGAATTGCGTCGTCAGTAATGTTGTAAATATAAGCATAATTTCATCTGCTGCATGTATCCAATTTAATGTATATTTTCAGGAGGTCAGAAATCGAGTACTACGCCATGCTTTCCAAGACAGGAGTCCACCACTACTCCGGAAACAACACAGAGCTGGGTACAGCCTGCGGGAAATACTTCAGGGTGTGCACACTTTCCATCACAGACCCTGGAGATTCCGACATCATTAGGTCCATTCCTAGTGATGGTGGACCAGCACAGTAAATAGTTTATATAAAATAAATTTTACTTATAAAAACTGATTTTTTAAATATTATTACAACTTTCCTTTCTTACTTAACCTACTTCCTTTTCCTTGTGTATTCATGTACAAAGTTTTGCCAGAAGTTTCAACTTACTATTAGGGCTGAGTAGAACAAAACACCTTTTTATTTTAAATGTCTTATTTTATTTGCTATGCATTTTTGGCCACATCCGTTTACCCTCTTCAGAGCAGTGGAGTTCTGTTTTGATTAAATAACCATTTTGAAGAGAGGACGAGAAAGTGGCCTGAAATACATAGCAATAAAATACAAGGCAATTTGAACATTTGTGTTTAGTTCAACAAAAAACCAATATTGAAATTTTTTTCTACCAAATAAGAATGCAAGAAAACAATCGGAAATTGGTAGTGTATTATCTTATTGAAGTTGTAAAAAGCAAAAATGCAGTATTAAGCTACCAAGCAATCATATAAACCAAATCAAATTTTTTGTGGAATATGCACATGTTAAATATTGTATTGCCATTACACTGCAAATTACGATGATATGATAGTTAAAAGAGGCTCCAGACATGCGGGATTTGCCGAATCCTGACTAGTGGGGATGGGTGCTCTGTTATTTGCTAAGCAACAGTATTTGGTGCTTGCCTAATTGTTCGTTTTCTTGTCTGCTTCAAAGTGCACGAATACTAGTGAAATAACCAAATTCATATCATCCACACATTCAGGAATCAACTACTGTATGTATATCAACTGTCGTCATCAAACAACACTGCTATTTATTTATCAATTAAAAACGATTCCTATTAGTATAGATGTATTCATGAAAGAATCAGTGTTGATTCTGTCGGTTAGGAATGGATTGGCCCAATATTCAGTTCCTCTATCTGCACCAAGGGGAACCAATAATTTGGAACGCTTCTCTTCCAAATCACATAAATCAGAACGAGTTGTTCGATCCGTGGAAAGTAAGATGGGGCAAGTTTTCTATGAGATTTGTGACGAGTTTGTAGCCACTACAGAAAACAGTAACTGAACTTCATTGTAGTCCACCACAATTGGTAAAAATAAGTTGACGCTGTGGCTGGTGAATATTCGCTGTTTCCACACAAACTTGATGGTTGTACAAACCCCCGTAGGTTACACATAAGCACACTATTTGGAGAATGTCAAGATGAGCATCACGAGACTGCAAATATTCGGTGAATACCGCCTGTCTGGAGCCACCTTCAAAAGACTACAATGTCGCCTTCATAGCATTATTGTAAATTATATGATCACATATTTTATCTTACTCGTTCTATGGTACACAAGTTATAAACAAAAATAAGTGTATGAAAAAACTAGTGCTTACAGTGTTAGCATCAAAATAGAAACTGGTTATGCAACCCTGCACAACACATTAAGGGCCATCCGCTTGTACTAACTATTTATTTTATTATAATAGATAATATATTTTTAATGATAGTTCTTGCTTCTTCCAATTTATATTCATAATTTGCAGTATGTATATTTTTTTTTACAAAGCCTTGTTTCTCTTCATCTATCTTTCTTTTTAAAAATATGTATTTTTTGTAGCCAATCCGGATTTGTATATATTACAAATGTAATCACTGTATGTTGTTATATCACTAGTGTATGTTGTTCTTGACACACCAGTATGCCGACGTTGCACCTGGAGGTCATGCTATGAGAAGCCAGCCACTCAGTGTGAGGGAATAAGGGGCATATAGGTCTCAAGGCTCTGGTAATTAAGGACGTTGCGGGATTTTGGGATTGAGAGTGTGTAGAGGAGGGCCCAAGCTGTGTGGAAAGAGTGGTTGTGAAATGGAGATTAGTTCATGGACAAAATGAATGTTGAGGTTGTGGATAGTGATATAGTAAGGAGCTTTAACAATTTGCCTGAGTACTTGATTGGATATTGGATGGCTTGGCAGAACCCCAGTTCTACTCTGTATGTCTAAAGTGGTCGAAGTAAAGTTTTGCATAACACTAGTCGAGTCTTGACAGTCGGGGGATTTTGGTCCTAAGAGTTCATAATAGTGCAAGTTTTCTGTTAAGTTGCTGTCTTCTTGTGTGGGGTATTTGACTTGATTAGAAGTCTATATCTATTGTTTTTTCTATGTGAATATACATTTTCCTTCATTCACTCTTGTACTCCACTTGGCACCACCACCAGATAAGCTCAAGGTGTTCTTGTATGTTGGAAGTAGTTTGGGAAGGATTCAAGTACAGGATTTGCGTTATCATCCACATAGATTGTGCTCATATGGTATTTGGGGTGTGCAGGTAGTTCAGCAGTATAGATAATGTAAAGGATGAGACCAAAAATGCTCCCTTGTGGTACGCTGGCTAGTATTGGTCCGATCTCCAAGAACTCTGCTTCACCTCACTCTGAAACAGTACTCATTTTAGGATGGTGTTCCATATCAGCAGATGACTGGATGGTATCTGAAAGGTCTGTTCTACGAATGCAAAACCACAAATGCCTACATTGAAGGCCAAGGGTTTCTAATCTTTCCAAACATGCTTGGGAACTCACCGAACCTCCTGGAGCTACAGCAGTACCACCAGCGAGTGACCCACACACACGGCAGTAGCAGTTCAATGTGTTAAAAAAAATGAGGCTTTGTGAACTGGTTAGCCAGGTTTCAGGAAGATGATGTTCAAATATTTCCAAAATAAGGGGAAATGTGTAGTGTGGAATGTACAATTGTAGAAGTATGTGAGGAATACAATAGCTTTTTGAGGGAGTAGGTCAAAACCGGGGGCTTTTGCTTTCTGTAAGTGAGGCAGGATATAAAAAACTGTCCTTGAAGTTTATGCTCATTGTTAAAATTTGTATAATATTTTAAACTTTATTTAGAAAAATTGTGCCAAGAAAAACACGTTTAATCGTTCTATAAAATGTATTAATTTCATCAGAATAATTAAATGTCATTGGTAGTGAGTAAAAAATCCTCAAAACTTCAGCTTTTTTTTTATTAGGTATTAAAAGAAAACTTTTAATAGAACCTAAAACTTGTTTGGAAAAACGTTTAAAACATTGCAGAACGTGAATGTAAAAAGTATTAAACTAGTAAGATCGTAAATTTAAATTGTCTGATACATGAAACGACTCATAATTGGCAGCTTTATTTGTTTCTTGGATTCAGTGGATTTTTTTTTAAACGTAACAGTATCTTGTCTTTTATCTTCTTCACTCTTTGCAGTTCAGCACTTCTTCAGATAGTACGAGTATATAGCTACAACAGAAAGTTTTCAATGTGGATGGTATGTTGATATACGACTCAGTTCATTGAAACCTCAAAAAATTACAGTCTAATGGCCGTCTTCGACGGAGAGAGACAGTTTATGACTTATTTCTTTTTCACAAAATTATGACTGACACGAGACCCTTTTCTAATCCTAAAATAAGGTTTGGGGATGAGAATTATTCAATAAAAACAAAAGGAACTGTATAATTAATACAAGGAAAATGTTTTCTATATTTTACTTTGAAATACTTCAAAATAGTCTCACAATGAAAATTGTTATATTTTGTACAACCATATACAATTTGTAATTTTATTTTTTTCTTAATTTTTTAACTGGCAGAGTGATTTTTTTCTTCAATATTTATAATCTACTGCACAAAATTTTACAATATATTCTGATTATCTATATAATTCATTTCTACAATTCTAAAATACAATCAATAATTAGTAAATATATAATTTTTATGTATAATTGTTACACTTATCATGAGATTATCATTTCATAATATAGTGTACCTTTTATGTATATATTTATACGTGTATATAAAATAATGACCTAAATTAAAATATTAACCTAACCTACTTAGGTTCATGGCTAGCCATCTGAATATAACAAAACATTAATATTATTTTAAAAATATATATATATTATATTTAAAAAGCTGTTCTTTTCAAGTTTAGATAATAATTATTGGCTCCATGACATCTAAACTAAACTAATTATTTTATTTCCCAAAATATCAAGAATCCTAATCCAAAAAAAAGAAAGAACAAAATAAGACAAAATTTCCTTTATAAATTCAAAAAATGAGAATTACCACAATGGATATATATAAAAAAAAGTCTATACAATTACAAAAAAGAACAAATTCTGTACAATTTATAAAAGGAAAATTGTCAATAAAAGAAATACCCCGAGCCAATTGGAAAAGAAAAATAGAAATTTTTGAAGAAGTTAAAACCAAAAGTAACCTGATGTTTCAATCAGCCTTTGAAAATTATAAGTTTTTTTTAAAACGATATTTGATCACAGAAATCTCTAAATAAAATTAAATAAACAAAACGAAAACTATCAATTCAGAATTCTTGTAATTACATAAGATTTTAGTTATTGTTTTAATTAATATGTATTATATATATATCACCTAAACCCATTGACTGAAAAATACACTCAACAACATCAATGCACAATTATACATACATTTAAATTGTTAAAATACAATGAATTGCAATCAATATAATTACACTGAAACACTTTATTATACACATTGATTTTTAGAATTGTTGAATGCAAATAATAACATTTAAAAAAATTCAATTTGGGGGGGGGATCTTTCTTTTCCAAACAAGGCACATATAAAGAACTACTTACATTTTTACACAAGCACTAACACATTCCTACTTGTAGTTTACATATTAATCAATACATAATCACAAATTTATTTATTTGTTTTTTTAAAGAAAATTTCCAAAAAATAAAGAGGCTGTATTTGTAAAGTGAGATAGAGAGCGAAAATTCCTGAATTATCCTTAGTAATTTTTCTAAACTTACAATCTGTGGAAAAAATTCAAAAAAGACATCGGAATCATGAAAAAATAGTCAATAATAAAAAATATCTATAAACATTGGAAGTTAACTTTCTAATTTGCAATAATGTACATGATATATATATTGTTTCGGTTTTTTAAAATTTATATATATATAGAACTACATTTACCACATATAGACAATTAAATATCAAACTGAGTGCTCACATTTTACATCATATTCTTAAAGACAACAAATGTGCAATTTAAACAATATTTTTACATTTCATTTATTACATTATATAATAGATGTACACCTTAATGATTATATTAAGTAGTTAAATAAAAAGAAAACTAATTTATACTTCCCCCTCTTATACTGTCTTAGTATAAATTTGAAGGATCAAGAGAGGGATTTTTTTAAATTATTTATCATCAGTCTTTCTTAAAAAAAGCTGTTTTATTTCCTTTATATTGAAAAAAAATAAATAAAAAAAATTATAAAAACCGGAAAGAGGTGAAGCTATGTTTGTTTTACAATACGCATGAATGTTAATAAAAATTTATTTATTTACTTTTTTTATACGCGTTATTTCCATTCCAGACAAGGTTTTATGCAGATTTTGTCTTCAATGCTTAAGCCCCATTTAAATTTCAACACATTTTAAATAAAGAAAAAAAAAACGAAAGTTCTAAATAGATACTGAATTTTACTAATATAGAAATTTTCCAAGCAAGAGGTTCAATGGATAAAGCAAATTATAAGTAGTTTTTTGTTGTTATATTTTTAATAAAAACATGCACCAAAGTAAAAATCATTCCATCATTTTGCTTGTTAAAAAAGTTTTTCAAAAATAAAACTAGCATACTACGACTAAACAGATCATTAGACTTAAAACAAAAACAAACAAAAAAATATAGGAAAAATCTACAGACATAAAACATGTGCCAGTTTTTACTTATTGATCCATTATAAAAAAAAAAGGCAATGAGCAGTCGCAATAAAATAAGCAGAATATAAAACCTGTTTGAATAAATCATTGTTATAAGTGGTACTGGAAAAAGCATCATGTTATGGAATGGTTTTCTTTAATTTTAATAGCCGATGTGTCTGAAAAAAGTAAACATAAAATGTTGATACTGTGCAACTTCTTCAATTCAACGGAGATAATTTTTTTAAAAAGGAAAATTTATTTACCACCAACTGATATGACAGCATGACAGAGCCAAATTATTGGGAATTAACCTATATAACGAATATCATTACACTGTACAACATACTTAGACTGTCGCTAAACCAAACTTTGAGGCGATATTAACACACGGTTTTTCCATTTTTCTTCTTCTTTTTATAATACAGTTTTTGCCTAGGCAAATATTAAAAACTTAAAATATATATATATTATATATATACTATTTTCCATATATATATATATCATAAAAAATTATGTAAAAATCCATTTACAAATATTTACAGTTTTATCATTATATAAACAATTGTACAGTCTTGATTTTTTTTCTTTTTAAACAGATATACACGTCACTTTTATAGTAAGCTCGGTCATATTCGTGGACTACAAAAATAGAATAATAATTATAAATTTCATTTGCTAATTACAAAATTGGTGGTCCTTATGCTGTCTCGTCAGATGGTGGTATCCATGCCAAATATGAGATCATCAAAGCTGTCCTAAAAGTTGCAAAAAAAAAAAAAAAAAAAAAAGAGAAAAGAAAAAATGAAAGAAAAATTTATAAAATAAAGATACAATAGAAAAAAAAAGAGTAGATCCCACTTTTTTATTTAAATTTAATTTTTGTTTTTTAAAGACTGTCACCAAAAGATATATACAGCCAATTTGAAAAATTCTAATCATACTATCCATCATAAATTATTTCCATCGAGGAAAACACTTTTAACAAAATTGATTTTGCAATAAATATATCCATCTGTCAATGTATGTTCAACGATTCAAATATCTGTACAAATTTACACATGAAACGGAATGTAATTATAATAAAATGAAAAAGCTATAAAATTTCCAGTATATAAATATTTTTTTTTATTATTACATACATTTTTTAAATATCTAAAAATTCACTACCGATGTAATATAAGATTCTTTATTTTGTTTAAAAAGTCATTTGATATTACTCTAGAACATCTATATTATTGATTTTGAAATAGTTTTAAATTGATATAAGAATATATGTATAATACAAGATATATTATTATTATATATATGTGTGTAAACTGTAACAAGCCTATTCTTATATATATATATATAACAAAAAGGACAATCTATTATTCAAAACTTAGATTTTTAAGTTTTTGTACCTGTGAACCGATGCGATAATATACAAATGAACACCAATAATAAAATTCTACTTTATTGTTCACAAACATTCTGTGATGTTATTAGAGATTACGCTTAAATCGCGATAAAAAGCCAAATCGGGTGTTTTGGTTGTGACACCGAATATCCTACCTATTTTAATTTGTAAATTTTATCGATTTTATTTTTATTTTTAATTAAAAGTGGGATTTTCCTATTCAAGATTATTATTTTAATCGATCTAATCTGTTTATAAATCATGCCTAAAAAATTGGGATTTAACGTTTTTAAAGCACTTATCTTTTCCTCATTTTTTAATTGGGCGGTGTTAAGATGTGGTATAATTAAATATTTAATTACTAAAATTTTGAGCAATGCGTCTCATGTGCACTAAGCAGTTGTTAATTTTTTTCTTCCTATGTACATAGTAATGTGCAAAATTAAAATTCCAAATATACATAACAACAATCCGGGTTCAGTTCTAATTTGAAAAAAGTTATTTTTACTATAAACATTGGTCCAAAATGTAATTTATGAAAAAAAAAATTACATACCGGATTTAAAAAAGAAGTAAAGCTTGTAATAAATTAACTTGTATATACATTAATGTTATTTTTAAAATTATCTTCTAAGCCTGGGAAAAAGTAGGAATAACAAACAGCGCTAACAAATGTACACATTCGAAAAAATATTAACATTGTTATATGCAAATTAGTTAAAATGAAATTAACCTAAGATAATTCACTATCCAGTAGAAAAAAAATCAATACATTAATTAATGTTTGTATTCATGTATGACTTCTATATTACAGTTTTTGTTTTCAACTCTGTGACTATCACGCCGTTTCAACGATGGGACTGATGATGCTATTTAAAAGTTTTCTACAAATTATTTAATATGAGCAAGTTTTTGAATAAACGAATTCTATCCCTTTTGTCTAAATTTATTTTTATGTGTCTCTTTAGAGTGTTGTTTATCATTTACGGTCGTTCACACTGATGTAACTGAACGTTATTGATGTACATAGTTGACCCTTGCCTTTTTTTAATATTTTAATTTTCTTTATTATTAACTAACTGAAATAAAATGCCTGCTGAAGTGTTCGCAAGCTTCCTGAGGGGTAGTATAACCATTAAAAAGGGGGCACCGTGATTATTCAATGTTATAAAAAATATAATAGAAATAAAATAACATAAATTTATATTTTAAAATGAAATTGTGTCTTCTTTTCTTCATTTTTCTTTAATTTATTCCTTTTTTCTTTTTTTTTTGTGTAATTATAATTTTTCGGCGGCTATACACATATTGAACGAGGGGATTGTATTTACAACTTATTTTAAGAAAATACTCTACATCTTTTATAACAGGAGGATCTTATTCGTCACTCTAAATACATAAAAGATAAAATTTTTTTTTATACATTTAAAAATTAGGTTGGTCCGATTATACATAAAATTATAATGCCATATTTTACAACCCCAAAATATCGCTTGTTATTTTTTTCCTTTTGTACAATGCATTATTGTATAAATGACTACAGTGTATGATACTTACAAAATGAAAAGGCATGGAGGGGGCATGTATCCTATCTCAAATAATTTATTTGATGTATCATATATAGATATATACAGATTGTTGTATATACATATATATGATTATAATCCATATTTAAAGACACCGTCTGAGGCGTTATATACAAATTAAACATTTTTTTTCCAAAAGAACAAAAAAAAAAAAAAAATCAAACTAAACTAAACAATGTTTGCTCAACTAATGAAAATATTAAAGAAAAAAAAATTATAGAATTTCCCTAATGTTAAAATATTTATATGCATAAATATATACATATATGATTTCCATCATATATATATACAAAACTGTTTTTCAGAATGTTCTAAAAAAGAAACCATCAAATGTTAAAAGAAATGGTTATCAAATTTAGAGAACCCCATTTGTTGGTGGGCCGATTGGTCCCAGTTCTGAGACGACGACGACGTTATTGGCCGACTTCATAAAGAATTTTTCCAATTTGGCGATGATGTGCTTCCCATAAGTGTACTTTCTGAGCGATGCAAAATGAGGTCGAATCTTGTGCATCAGGACCTTCCTCTGTGAAGCTTCACACACGTCTAACATCTTTTGGACGACATAATTGGCGTACTGATCTTTCATCATCACGTGCAAAGCACTGGAAAAAAAAAAAAATACACATTGAACATCATATGAACGCTTTTAATTTTGTATTTTGTTGTGAATAACTCACTTGTCATTGAATCCGCAGACCTCTTCGATCAAAACTGCTCTTTCGGCTCTTGTTGCATGTGTGACACATTTCTCGACAACATTAGATGCAAACTTGTGTTGAGAAAGTGCAAGAACTTTGCCACGCACAGCTCCAATCAGTATTGCCTTGTCTTCAGCCTTGCCATGCTCTAGAAAAAAAAAAAAAAAATAAATAAATAAAATAAATAAATAAGAAACGTTCATGTGAAAACCACGACTATCAAAAATTACCTAAAACATGTTGGATGACATAATTTCCATATTGATCTTGAATTAGCTGGTCTGTATGTTGATGAAGTTCTTCTAAAATTGGAGCTGTCTGATCTTGAGTACAATGCTCCAAGATGCGCTGAATGACTCTGCATCCATATGGATGAGTGGACAAAGTGAATACCTGAAAAAGCATTAAAGCGATTAGAATCATAGAACACACGATAAAAATTACTACATCCCCCAAAACCATACCTGTCCTTGAAAAGCATTGATTATGAATTGCAATGCATGTGGATCGACACATTCTATGCACTTTTGAACGACATGATTGCCGTTTTGATCCTTGACACATTTCAAAACGTGCCCATCAAGCTCACGAACAATCTCAACTTGCTGTTCTCCAGAAATAGACTCCAAAGCTTTTTGAATTACTCTGCAACCGTACATTTGCAATGCCAAAGGCAAAACATGGCCTCGGACCTAAATATAAACATTAAAAATGGTTATTATAAACAAAATTCAATGGAAAAAATTATATATAATCAATGAGAACAGACCTTTTGAGCGAGTGTTGTCTTTTGCTCAGGTGTACCAAATTCAAAGAACTTCTGAATAACATAGTTCCCAAAAACATCAGTCATCAAGTTATAAGCAGCAGAGAGTATTTCAGAGAATACAAGCTGTTTTTCAGGCACAGTGGCTCTTTCAAGCTTTTGTTGTATAAATCTTGATCCATGCTGGTCCTGGGAAAACTCAACGATGTGATTCGCAAGGTCCCTCAGTTGCAGACTCGGATAGCGGTTGTTCCTGAAGTCTTCAAGGAGTCTAGAACGACCGGTTGGCTTAGAATCAAGTGGAGAAGCGGTCAAAGTGCGTGCAACCCCTCCAAGCTTGGCAAATAGAGATCCAGGGGTTCCGAGCACCCCTCCGCCGGGTGTTGTTGTCGACGTACGAAATTTAGCTTCTGCACCTGGTGCAGCTGACAAAAGCGATCGTCCTCCTGTCAAACCGCCCAACTGTAGTCCACCGCTGCCAGAGCCAAGAGGTGGCGGAGTGACCGACCCAGATGCAAGACCCAACGGACTAGCCGAAGCCGGTACTGTACCTGAAGAAGGTTAACAATTGAAATTGACTATTGCAAAATGTTGTGGTGCAAGATGTTACATCACAATGATCAGAGAAGATCATGATAAAGCATCAAAACCATAAATTATTCTTTTTAAAATAATATAACTTTGGCAAATGTAAAAAGATGATTTCAAAAATAAAATTATACACTTAAACACACTGTTTGTCTATAAACAAACTAGTCAGACAGTGCCTCACTACTTCATAATTAACAAACAGCTAAGACAAACGTCCATTAAGGTGTACATTTGTAGCAAAGAAGTACTGCAGATATCCATTTATCTGGACTTAAAAAGACTGGGACTTGTACGGATGATTGAAAGTCCGGATAATCCCAAAATTTGTGATTTTATTAGTACCATGTGATAAAAACGGAAAAAACACGAAAGTGAACACTTTTATTCATATACTTTATTTATATTATATATTATATACTTTATTTATATATTATTCATAGTCCAGACGTGTTTCTCGAAAAATTTGTAGTATGTAAAAAATACTTATCCGGCCTCTTCGGTAGTGTGACTAGTGGAAGGGCAATTTGGTGGGCCTTTACGAATTTCAAACAACAAATTAAAGGTCTCATAGTGGAATTATGAATTTAAAAAATTTAATATACATACATTGAGAATCATGAAAAATTTATAAAAAATGTGTTTAGTGACCGTTAATTAATGATTATTTGGAGATTGTGGGACTATACCACTATACACTACAATACCAAACCGCATCTCACAATCTCCAAATAATTTATAAATAATATTTTAACATACGGGTCTGGATATTTAAGGTTTTTAAAATTATTTTTACACACTTGTCAAAATGCAAACAAGTTTCTACATGTTATTATTGTTATTGTGTTAATGTTATATAATTATTAACTCATTTCTTTTGTAATGAATATTTAAAAACAATATTAAGTGAATGGACAAACTATGCAATGAAGTATATCAAGTGATTGCTACATCACATTCATACCAACATTTTTTCAGTTCTTGTACAAAAAAACACCCTTGGCTTTTGAAGATTTAGGCACGACACCCAAATTTCTAAGTAGGATGTAGGATTGGACTTTTTACTTCTTTAAGATTTGTATGAGCATTATTGACCTTTTATTGTTCTATTCTTTCATAATATCGTGGGGACAATTATTTTGATGATTGAAGGCGTTTTTATATTCATACAAAAACCCAACTTTTTTTTCGAATGGAGATGTTCTCTTTATAGATTAATTACTTATTTGTCTTAAATACAAGTGAGTTTGGGTAGATTTTAAGGCATCCCCATTTTTTATTTTTTTTTATTTAAGAATAAAGGAATATAATTTTTTACATACCAAGTGCTCCATAGCTTTGAGGCCACTTGGCTCTTCCATATTCCAAGGATGGGGAGTACGCCGAAGTATTTCTGTCAAAGGAATCTCTTCTACCAGTGCTTCCTGTTCCAAGGCCTAACCCTAGCAAAGAGAGATTTTTGTAAAGCAATTTAAAAAAAAAATACCTTCACCAATCTAACAGCCCAAGTAAAATAAAATAAACGCAACTAAACAACAGTGCACAGCAAATACTCCAGGTGCTTTATTTTGTACATGTGGTTTTCTACTAAACGGTGGTGGTTAAACTTGAAGAAATACACTAAAGAATTTCAAGAGACATACACATATAACAATAGGCTATGTACATATTTCATTTTTATAAAGGATTTACGGTGTCGGTGCAAATACATTTTACATTATATCCCAATAGGTTAAGCGAATTTTACACATGCATTAATAACAAACTACAATGAGGATGGGTTAAGGATGGTTCTCAGTTTGTTAGGTACCTGCACCGAGGGAAGAAGATAGACTCGAAGTTAGTGAAGCCAAGTTGTTGGAGTAGCCAGCGCTTCCACTAGCCCCTGACTGCGGTGGCAAACCTATAACCACACACACACTCTCTCATTCGCTCCCATTTTGGAAACAGTTTAAAATAAAAATACACTATACATGTTATTATCCAATCATGCACATTAATAGGGGTTATATAATCTAATGTTTTTTTCCATAAAGCACAATAAGTTGTTGAAATTTTTATCATTTTCCATTATTTTGTTAAAGGGAACTTGGGAGTACCTGATATAGCAGTACCATTTGCAGTAGGGGTGCTGTAGAGAGAAGCTGGTTGGTTACTGCTGTATATAGAGGAGGGAGGTGTTGTTATCTGTTGGGTTTGATTCCCTAGCAATCTCATGCTGTTTCCTGCTACACCAGCTAAAACATATACATTCCCCTCTTCTCAAATATTCTTTGCATATCCAACCATTGGTTATTTACAAAACATTATGTACAACGTTAAGTTTTCCTTTAGCCATTATATGGTACAATTGACTGGGCAGAAAAAGTTTTTTATGGAGATCAATTTACATTTCTTTGACACTTTTAACATATATACAATTAAATTTACAGTTATAAGGTGGCTGTAAAATTTTTACAACTTTTATTACCAGGTGTCGGAGCGTTGACTAGCACCGGAGCTGGAGAAACCAGTCTCATAGGTGTCCCACTACCAATTCCTCTCATAACCAATGATCCGTTTTGATCATAATATGCAGGTATTACTTGGTACTGACCGGCTTGTACCTAAAATTAACAACCAAGATGATTTAAAAAAAACTAGAAATTTTCAATTGGTATTTGAAGTTACAAAGATTTAGTTAAAATTTTCTAGGTTCTACAAGAAGGATGTTAATTAGAAACTAAAAAAGTTACCTGGGTTAGGTTGTTTGCAGTTTCAGTTGCTGAAGAAGGTGTAAGAGGCCTTCTTTGCTGTGTAGCAGCACCTTGTTGTATTATATTTGTAGGGTAAACTCCCCAAGGTACACCATAATATTGAGGAACCACAGTTGGGCCTACATACCACACAAAAACACAGTTTTAAATTAAACATGTTTATAACAAAAGTTTAAAACCATGTATTATCGACTTTTAACTCAACCGAAGTGTTTACCTGCAATGACATACGGTTCCTGAGGGTTGATAATGTAAGGAGGTGCGTGGGGAGGGAATGTCGCTGTCGCGGGAGCTGCAGCTAGGCCAGCAAGCTGCTGCTGTTGTGTCGCTGCAAGATACTGTTGCTGTTGCACCAATTGCAGCTGCTGTGCTGTTGCTGCGGCAGCTGCTGCTCCACTCGCTGTTTGCTGTTGCCCCCGAAACAACTGCTGTAAAACAGAAAAAACAATACCAAATATAGTTAGTTGCAAATGTACTGCCTACTGTTATGTTGAAACTACAATATAGGTAACACGATTCTGTTGAATGTTACTTTGCAAAAATTGGTAGTGTGACTACTTGCATTTTAGTGGATGCGTATCCAATATCTTTGATGCAACGAGCTATGAATATTATAAGAGATAGTGTAAGAGTTTGTAATATTAGATAGTGAATGAGTTAAGATAAAGGACTTGTAGGAATAGTCGTTAAAATAATTTAAAAATATTGGGTTGGTAATTAATGCAGGTTTTGAAAATTTGTTGTCTTTTCACAGGAATTTTCATGTAAATCTAATCCTGAATTCTTAATTTACGGTAGCATGGTATTAAGGACGCGTTAGGCCTTCTGTTGTCGATGATGACCAACCCAAAACGTTAATTGAAGAAAATTCACGTAAGACAACACAGGAAACTGCTGAACAGTTTAGTGTTGACCACTCAACCAAATACCAAGCAAATTGATAAAGTAAAGAAGTTTGACAAGTGGGTACTGCACAAACTAACGGAGGCTCAAAGAAATTGACTCTTTGAAATTTGCACGTCTCTTCTGTTGCACCAATGGATTCTGTATGAAACAGTAGTGGTTGGGCAAATATGAAGCGCCAAAACACTTCAAAACCTAATCTGCACCCAAAAAAGGTTATGGTGACTGTTTAGTAGTGTACTGTTGGGGGTTGTTCACTATAATTTCCTGAATTATGGTGAAACTATCACAGTAGAGAAATTTTGCCAAGAAATTGCACGGGAAACTGCAACGTCTTTGTCCAGCAAGGGTAAACTGTAAGGGGCCAATTCTTCTTCAGGATAACACCAGGATACATGTCGCAATGCCAACCCTGCGGAAACTTAAGTACTTAGGATATGAAATCTTACCACATCCTCCATATTCACCTGAACCACATTTTTAGGCATTTTGATCACTTCTTGAGGGATAACATTTTTAGAGAACACGGTGAAGCTGAAAACGCCTTCTAAGGATTTATTGCGAGTCAAAATAAAGATTTTTATGTCAGCGGAATAAAAGTGCTTTTTGCACACTGGGAAAAATGTACAGATTGTGACGGTTGTTATTGTATACAAATTAAAAATAGTTATGACTGCGTTTTCAAAACCTTCATTATTTTTCCACCAGCTTAATAGTTGTTGTAAGGAATGTCAAAAATATGTTGGAAATAAGGTCCTACATCTAGAGGTCACTCATCCAGTAGGGAGCAAATCTACTACCAGGAAATCGTAGAAATGCAATAGATGAATAGTCATCTATCCACTAAATATAGCCAAACGTTAATTAGAATGGAAAACTTGTGGGATCCTTGGGGCCAGGTCAGCTGGGAGGACGTTGCACACTCTTTGTGAGGTATTCAGCCACGTACCAGGAAGTTGCTTAACAGAAACTCCTGACATTTATGAGTTATTGGGCAGCCTACCCTTGCAAGTAGGAAGCTGACCATCTGGCGTAGTAGTTTTTGCTTTTACAGGGGTTCTGCAAGAGCACTCAGTCAACAGGAGCCACAGTCAACTCAAATCCTCATCCCAGTCAAGTACTAAGTCAATCCAAAATCCCAATCCAGACCAGTAAATAAGCAACCACAGTCAGTCTGAGACCCAGCAAAGCGCTTGAAGAAGATGCTGGAAGACACTAAAATGATGTGGAAGCAGGTGTTGGTGAACATTATTCAGGGTAAGTCTTCTTGAGAAAAAGCACATCCCAGTGTTCGAGTTTTATACATATTTATAATATTAAGACGGGCCCCGGTGTAACCTTTTGATTATGAATATTTTTCTCAGGTTTATTGCATTTTGGAACCCTCCTACCTTCCTTTACACAAAAAGTAGTTAAGTGCCAAAAAGTAATAATGTTGATTACTTCTCTTATGGTTTAGGGATAAGCGCATGTGGCTTCAGCTCCCCCTTATAAATTTATAAATAATAATTATTAAAACTCAAGACCAGACAATTTTAAACAAAGACAAAACCAAGAAATAATTGTAAGTTTACAAATTTGCCTTCAAAAATATTTCTTTTTTGTAAAGACAAAAGCACAGAGTGCAAAGTAAAGCAAACAATTTTCACACGTTTCCCTCAATTAAATCAAAGCGTAAAGCAAAAACGTTGAATTCTAAGGCAACACGACGCACTTTGTCTGGAATAGAGGAGTAAACAATAAAGTACCACTTTTGAAAATTATAAATCGTTAAATACGCTAAAAATACGTTTTCATACTCGTCAGAGGGCTCTTAAGAGTTAAGAAACAGGGAGAAACATTCAGATCTCAAGTGTTTAGCAATTGCCATGAAAAGATGCTTGTTTCAAGAACAAGACCCCCCTTGTGTTCACTGATAGGAACCTTGTGTTGATAGGCTTCTTTTAATTACATCCAGTAATTACACGTCCGGAAAACTTTTCTCGGGTAAAACTTGCGATTTTATTATAACAAACAACCACTAGCATAAAATCGACGGCAGACAATCTCGGTTAATTTCTTGGGGTTTAAATAATGCACCTGCCGGAGTAAGAATGTGACAAATCACCTTAGTTTAAAATTACGAAGAAAAGTGATAAGTATCAAGGCAAGGACTTTACAAAACAACATACATAACTTTTCAGTTTTATTTTCACGAACGACTCATTTAAATTAAGAAAATGTCAAATTATACTTCTAAGAACGCAATTATATCAATTATCTGGTATAATCAACGGATTCTTGCCACATTCAATGTGTTAGGTATGCTTTAGATTATTTGGAGATCGTGAGATGAGGTCTGATGTGATGTAGTTCTAGAAAAACATTTTCTTTATCGTGCCAACGTTTCGATCTTTATTGAGATCATCTTCAGAGCCTCGTATTGACTGCATTTCAACAAAAAAGTTGTTAATTTGATTAGGTTATTCAAGTTTCTTTGCATTGTTGGCGATGTCCTTTAGAATACTCTGCTTGGTGTCCATATGTACGTTTTTTTAAACAAGGGTTCGCAACAGCAAAGGTTATATCAACCCTCGGGGTTTTTGAAAAAAAGGGAAAAAAGCTGATTTGTAAGTATGTCGGGTTCGAATGCAGGGCCGCTGGATTCGAACCCAGGACCTTTCTTTACCTTACAGTGACGAGTGCCCTGTCAACGCCTAAACTGTTGCGGCCACCGACGCCCCCTCCGTATGACCTAAAACTATGTAACACCAGACCGCATCTCACGATCTCCAAATTATCAGTAATTAACGGTCACTAAACACCACACATTTCTACACGAGAAGAACGAAGAACATGGGATTCTATGAACAGGTTTCAACTACATATGGACACCAAGCAAAGAGTATTCTGAAGGACATCGCCAACAATGGAAAGGAACTTGCATCGGCTATCAATGAGAGAACTTTTTTGTTGAAATGCAGACAACACAAGGCCCTGAAGATGATCTCAATAAAGATCGAAATGTTGGCACGATAAAGAAAATTTTTTCTAAAACCTACGTCACACCAGACCGCATCTCACGATCTCCGAATAATCATTGACTAACGGTCACTAAACACCACACATTTCTACACGAGAAGGTGTGCTTTAGTTTATTTATTTTTTGATTCAGAAAAAAATTACACAGGGGACAAGACAAAGTAGTTAAAACTTATTTGCGTTCGAAAAAGAAAACAAAAAGGAACCATTTCCATCAAAATGTAGTATCATATTTCCAGGTATTATAGAACGATTCAACGAAGATATATTGGCCCAACTTTAAATTAAAATTAGCTTAAGTAATGGGCTCGTTTGGTCTATGTCGGAGACGATAAAGACCCAATTCAAAGGGTCATTTGCCCGTAATCATTAACGTCGGGTCTTAAGAGAGGAGGCTGTTTATACGGGGAATTTATTACACGCAAAAAATTACAATTTATAACAACAGTTCAAAGTGTAACAGGCAGAAAGCAGTTTAAATTTAAGAAGTTGGACGGGCTTCAGACAAGGCATCGATATGTTTTATGTGCTTATCTCTGGCATGTATCTAGCGACACATGGGTTAACATAATGTGAATACTTGATGAGAATAGAACTGGGAAATAAAGGGTTTGTTGTCATAAGTGGGTAATTTGAAACAATTCCAACCCGAGATGTGTTACTATCACGCAAGCCGCAACTTTTAATATTAACCTTAAGTCCATTTTCTAAACGATATTAAAGAGTCGTATTTAGGCCGGTAATGAGGTACGAAGGTCTGATGTCTGTGAATAATGGATTAACGAGTACAATATTTTTAAAAACGTTCGCGATGTTACAAAACAAAAGCAACCCTTAGGCACTTATTGACGATGCAACTCAAATTTACGTCGAGTGTGGATGAGGTTACAACGTTATTTGCTTATTAGATGTATTTTAGAGTGAAAATATTGTAAACGAATTTGAAGAAATATATTACAGCTAAAGCCGGCGCCACACTAGTCGGAATGCGACGGAAGTTCCGCGACGAAAAATCCGCCCAACCCGAACAAGCCACATATACATCGGAAATGATGGTTAGGGATTTAGAAGGATGTAAGTCTCCTAGGAATAATGTTGTGTTTATGTTTTAATCGACTATTAATCTGTATACATAGTTATTATGGAAACTAAACAAATAAATACAACTGTCCTGTTTTTGTCTTTGAGTGTGACGAGACCGCCATTAAAACTTAGCCCCCTATATTGTATATTTCATGGCGAATGTGGATAAGGCTATTAAAAGGCATGTTCACGCAAGGGCACTACAACATTATCGATCAGTTGGTATGATTTATGCTGCTGCGTTAGGACTTCTGTATAATTGCACGGCTTTACGACCAAATGGACTGTAAGCAAAGACGTTGAAATGATCACATTTTCATAAATACACATATATTAATATTAATAACAAACCCTAACCGTCTAAAATATTGCACAATTTTTTAATTTATTTTTTGTTTGTTAATTTCATGATGTACTGTAC